TTTCCTGTCTTGATATTTATTTGAAAATCTTCATGTTTTCCTCCACCTTTTTATGTGTCCTTCAATTTTTTTCCATTTTTGCACTAAAATGCCCAAAAATAATAGTAATATTTCTTCAAAAGTCATATACATTTTTCAGTTTTTGACACTTGGAAATAGGAATTATCTAATAACATAGGCGAAAACACAAACAAACAAAAAATCTTGCTAAGTACAACCAGAACAGAAGTTAGCCTTCTCAAACTTAGCTGTGCTTAAAAAATATCTATTCTATTCTCACATAATTATTTGTACTTGTAGCATAATTTGGTTACATTTTAGTTTGGTTTTAGTTAAACTTGAAACCCTGTTGTTATTTAGAGTGATTTCAACAATTCCTCCCAGATGCACAATTAAAACAAAACATTACAATGTAGGAAGTGTTGCTTGTGGAAGGATGTCCTGCCCCCTGAGCACAGCTATAAAACCAGTACCTGGAACAGGTATTTGAAAACTCTGAGCAGTAAACGATAACACGTAGATTGAGGGGAAAAGACCTGAGTTTGAAGTTCCACTGGACTGATGGTGGGTTTCCCTTTTTGATCGTCAGTAGTCCCTAACCAGGGAGTGTGCCCCAGGGTGAGCCTAAGGGGCATCAGGAGGAGCCCTCTAGTTTTGAAGCCAGGTGAGGGAAAGCGGAAGCCTCAGACTTAGAGAAGGGGGTGTCTCACGTATTCCTGTTCTTTGTTCTCTCCTTCCCTCCTCTGCCCCTCCCTGGGCGAGATTCCCACCGTGGTGGCTCCATTGGTAGGTGTGGTAGTGAAGACCTAAAAACCTTGAGTTATTGTATGCAGTACATACAATACATTGAAATACATATACAATACATAGTATTTGTATACATATGCAATACAATGTAGTACATACGGACATTGAAACCCTACCAAGGAAAACTGTAATTTTGCTTTCAACAAAAGTTTGCCCAGTAGTGTGGGGCAAATCCCTACTGATTTTTTTTCTCTGTTTCCTGCTACTTAGCCCCAGATGTGTATGTTTGTTCATGGGAAGGACATAACAGAGTGGAGCAGTTAAAGCTCTGGTTTCTGGACAGAAAAAATCAGGGTAGAGAAAACTATCACAGAGGCTACAGAGAGAGAGGAGCTCAGGAGAGCAAGTCCATAATTCCTGGGCTCTCCCCCTCAGTGGTGCACACATGGATCGGAGGCTAGATACCTTATCCTAGACTTGAGTACTGACTCAAGGGATAGGCCACTGTCAAGATCCCAGACCCACCAGTGGGAGGCGCATGACAGGGACAAATCTGAATAGCTCTGTAAAGGTTTTGAAAACATTTGAACTGACACTGGAACCACAACCATGGAAGACAGGGCAAGACTTTGTGGTCTGAATCCAAATGAGTTAATTGCATGCTAAAACAAAAATATTCATATCCTCCAAAAGATCTAAGATCTTGATACTTAAATATCTAACATGTCTGGTATTTAATCCAAAATTACTCGATAATAGTATATTGTGACTTATACCTCAATTTTATTTATCTATATATTTTTTAATCTGTGACTTGAATTTTAAATAAGCAAAAGAACATGTTCACAGTTTCCTTTGTCTTTTGTGGGGAGCTCCTGACCAAATCTACTTGTCAGTTATACCTCAGGCTTAAAAGAAGAAAATACTTAAGGACAAAATAACTAAATCACATATAATTTCCTAGTTCTGTGTGCTGAGAGGACACTGGGAGCAGTGACATCCCAATTGTCATCATAAAGTTGATGCATAAAGGTGTTGTGGCAAATTCTGACAACCACACATTCTTTGTTTCTTCCCCAGTGAGAGGTTAGGTCTGTTTCTTCTGTTACTGTTTTGACAGATGGAGTATAATGGGACTGTCACTATGGTAGTTCCAGGGTTGCCTTTAAGAGACTGTCCACTCGCACCTTGGTCACTTGGTGTCCTGAGAAATTTGACACTTGAGCTTCAGAGACCACATGGAGGAGCCTTGAAACTACTCAGAGAAAGGGAGGGTTCCCTCTGAGTCCCAGCCTTCCAGACATCGCCACCAAAGTGGTAACCATGGCTTTGAACCCTCCAGACCAACTGAGTACGGCTGGATGACCCCAATCCATACCAACCAATACCATGTGGAAGAGATAAATCATCTAACTCAGCCTTACCTGAAATTCTGACCTACAAGAATCTTGAAGTAAAATGAAACAGTTACAGTTTCAAGCAATATGTTTTGGGGTAATTTGTTATTCAGAAATAGATAACTAGAATAGAAGTTGGTTCTGGAAAAGGGGTGCTATCATATAAAACTTAAACTATATGTCATTGGCTTTGGGGCTGGGTGACAAGCAAAGGTTTGAGAGGCCTCATGAAGACTTAGTGAAATCTGCAAGGGCCTCTAGGGGACTGTCACTGAGAACTTGAAGGACAGTGATGTCACTAATGTACTGTTCAGGTAGAACAGGTTAAGGAACCTGTTGTCTGCAGGCGATGTGGAAAAGAGAAGACATTCTGATTATACTGCAAATCTGGTTAAAGAAATGTCCAAGTGGAATGTAGAAAGAACCAAATGGCTTTTTCTGGTGGACTATGATAAAATACAAGAAAGAGATGAATTATAGAAGGAATTTCTCAGTTGCCAACCAGAATTTAGAGGAAATATAGAGGGCTCAGTTTAGTCTTTCCCACCATCTAGTTTTTCAAATAGAGAAATGATTCAGCATAAGGAACAAATCCAGCATGACCTCAAGGTAAAGCCCTCAAAGGTATGCTTGAAAGACCCTTTGTTGAGACTTTAGAAAGATTTAAAGGCATGTTTGGTACAGGGTCAAAGAATCTTTTCTTTCTTTCTTTCTTTCTTTCTTTCTTTCTTTTTTTTTTTTTTTTTTTTTAATTTATACAAGCACTGGGTACAGTCAGAAGCACGGGAGGGTGAGAGAATTCACCAGAGCCAGAGCGGGGAGTAGAACAGGCAGACTGACAAAATACACTGCTGAGGGAAGCAGCGGGTGAGAGAGGAGAGGTCTGTCGCGCCATATGCTGGTGGCTGGGAATGGAACCGGCGCTGCAGAGGCTGCGGGCAGCTTCGCAGCCCAGCCCTCAACCACTGCAACCACCAGGGGAGGCCCATGGGTCAAAGAATCTTAAAGTCGTGTCTCTTAGGTTTTCTCTGGTAAACAATAGTCATAAGAATTGCCCCATGCGGACCTCCCTGGTGGAGCAGTGGGTTAAGAAGCAACCCATGAAGCTGTCCGCAGCCACTGCAGCACGAGTTCCATCCCTGGCCAGGAAGCTAACACACATGGTGCAGCAGACCTCTCCTGCCTCGCCCCTGCTCCCCTTAGCGGTGTATTTCAGCCAATCTGCCTGTTCTGTTCCCCACTCTGTCTCTGGTGAATCCTTTCACCCCACCACAACTCTGGCCTCTACCCCAGTTCTTGTATGCATAAATAAATCTTTTTTAAAAAATGTTCCCCATAAAATAGACTGTTTCAACCAGGCAAAAATGCTTAAGGCTATTGTACCACAGAATGTGGACTGTGTCTGAGGGAGTGAATTCCATTATAACCTATTGGAAATTGTTCAGTCGGGGATGTCATTACTGCCACCTGAAAAATTCCATTGGATTTTCACACAGTTTTCTTAGCATGGCTTGCAAAGCCCCTTTACAATCGGACAATCCCAACCACAAGGAACTCTTCATCATTACTGGAACTCAGTTTATTGTCTGTCTCCAAACCTTGGTACACACAGGTCCCTCCTGTGTGAGGCTCTCTCTGTCACTCATGCAGAAACGCAGGCTCCCTCCTCAGTGTTGCCATTGTGCACTGCACAGCCCTCTGCCACCCTCGTGGCACTTTCTCTTGGTTATTTGCTTCTTTGTCTTTCTTGGTGAGTCCAGGGTTGGATCTGCTGTTTCTCTGTGTCCTCAGGACGGTACAGGAGCTGCTAAATGTTTGTTTTTGTTTTAAAGATTTATTTATTTATACAAGAGCTGGAGTACAGGCCAGAGATACGGGAGGGTGAGAGGATTCACCAGAGACAGAGCAGGGAGCAGAAGAGGCAGACGGACCAAAAGCACTGCTGAGGGGAGCAGCAGGCAAGATCGGAGAGGTCTGCCGCCATGTGGGTATCTCCCTGGCCGGGTGGGATCAAACCCGCGCTGCAGAGGCTGCGGACAGCTTCACAGTGCTGCGCTTAACCCGCTGCGCCATGGGGGAGGCCCAATATTTGTTTTGAATGAAAGAACATTGCCTGGGGAAGATGGGGAACGAACGGTAGCTTAGTAGGATATAATAGTAACATTATCTTAGCTTAAATGCCCATAGGTAATTTGAGCAGAGAAGTGACCCAGGACCCCAGACTTCTAATTTCTACAGGTCCCAGATTTGTCCTGCGCAGAACCTGATGGCCTTTGCCCTCTTGACCTCTGGCTAAAATTTAATTCATCCTTCAGGATGGTTCAGTTGTCCAGTCTGGGAAATGTTTCTCCCTGCACTCTTAGATCTACCTCTCTTTATGGTTCCTGGACTTCCCATTAGAACTGAGGGATTTCCCAACCAGAATCCGTAATTCCTGGCCCCTAATGGCACGCGTGCATGCGTGTGTGTGTGCATGCGTGTGTGTGCGTGTGTGCATGTGTGTGTGCATGCGTGTGTGTGTGTGCATGCGCGCGCGTGCGTGTGTGTGCATGCGTGCGTGTGTGTTTGTGCAGTCACAGCTCAGGGAACTCAACTCCCACGACGCCCCTGCCTCAATGTCCCCAAGCATGAAGTACAGAGAAAGCAGCTCCCCGCGCTGTCATTTGCAGGAGGGCGGCGGACGCTGCGGGTTGCAGGCAGCCCCGCGGAGCTGAGGCCCTACGGAGCGGGACCGAGGGAGGTGCAGAGCCGGGCGGAGTCGGCGCGCAGGAACGTGGGGCGGGGGTGACAAGGCGGCGGGGGGGGGGGGGGGGGGCCGGGGCGGGGCTGGGGCGGGAGCAGCGGGCGCGGGCCCGGCGGGACAGTCGAGGGGACGCGCGCGAGCTCCGGCGATGGGCCCCGCGGCGCGGCTGGCGGTGCTGGCGGTGCTGGCGCTGCGCACGGGGGACCCGGCGGCAGCCGCCGCGCGCGGGGACACGTTCTCCGCGCTGACCAGCGTGGCGCGCGCTCTGGCGCCCGAGCGCCGGCTGCTGGGGCTGCTGCGGAGCTACCTGCGCTGGGAGGAGGCGCGGCTGCGGGACCTGACCAGGTGAGGGCACCCGGGGTGGGCGCCACTGAGGGGCTTGAGCGGGGAGACCGAGTCAGACGGCCAGACAGAGACACTACGGGGGAGGGAGAACACTGTCATCCTACGTGGCTCCTCAGACCCAGCAGCCAGGAGACTGACATTTTGTGGCTCAGAGTGATCCCCCAGATCCATTGGCACTCTGTGTGGGACCCCAAGACACTGTGGCTGGGGTGATGAGGAAGCAGACTCAGTGTGCAACCTCAGATTCTGTCAAACACACAGTGGCACATCCAGTGTCACCCAGCAAAGGTGGTAACTGGTGGAAATGGTGTGGTGGAGTGACTCTGAGGCCAGCTGGGACCTCCAAGGCGTTGAGTCAAGTTGTTTTTGCCCCTCGGCTCTGGGTTACAAAGACACAGAGAAAGTGAGCTGGAGAGAGTACAGAGCTGTAGCCGCACATGTGTTCACCATGTGGCCCTGTAAACTGATGTTTAGTGTGAGGTGACATTCTGTGACCATGTGTGAGATTTACATGTCTTAGGGACTGAATGGACACAATGCTATGGATATCTTACTCTTCAAGTGTCCTTGTACAGGTCACTATATGAATAACGCATGGTGTAGCTTTCATTTTGTTTTAGTTTTGTTCTTAGTCCAGGTTCATTGGAGGCCAAGTTCTTTGGTGGAAATAGAACAGACTTTCAGGTCCTGAGGGTGCTCCACACTATCCCTGTGTTGCTCTCAAAAGCACTAATTTATTTGGGGAGCTCAGCTGGAGTTGGGGGGTCAGAAGCCTGGTGGAATGTCCCCCAGGGAACAGACTCAGAAGTGAACTCATCACCACGGTCATGGTCACAGCTTTGTCACAGTGGGAGGTCGTGCACAAATCTTTTATCATTCGATTCATAGGCAATGCTTTGAAATACTTTTTTCATTACTCTCTTAAAAAAGGAGAAGTCATTTAATACACGAGAAACTGAAGGTCAGTCATTTACCCAAGATTATAAATCTAGTAGGTAGCAAATCCTAGGACAGAGTTCCTAGGAGCATTTCTTTCCCTCCTGTGTAACGTGCCCACTGCTTGCTTTATGTCATAGGCCAGGATCTAGGCCAAGCCCCTTAACTACAGAGGTTTCATGAACAGCTGGAGTGTATAGTGGTTGTGAGTCTGGATTCTGGAATTTAACAGACATCTATTGGGCTCTGTGGCTCTGACCTTGGGCAAGTTCCCTGATGTCTTTAAGCATTAATATCCTGATCTGTAAAATGATAGTAATGATAGTACCTCCCCCCATAGAATTGTTGGGAGAGTTAATACCTTATAACTGTATTTTTCAATGTATTTTTCATTCCATTTTTCCAATGGAATAATTGCTCGATAAATGTTAATTCTTTGTGATCATTGTTTGTGTTAAGACTGGCTGGTGAAAGTAGTTCCCACTTTTGGCTCTAAGCATTAAGTAGGCTTGTGAGAGACCAGAAAATAAAAAAGAATCAAGAATTCTAGAATCTATTCTCATATGGCTTATGAACATTTCATTTCCAAATGTTTTAGTTTGATATTTTGGATACTATTCTCAACTCAATGCTCTAAAACCTAAGGAAATATTTGCTTTTTAAAACAAGAATTTTGGCAGTTCCAGCTCATTTTCCTATACGTCCAATCTGGTGACTTTATGTAACTTGAGCTGTTATGTCTAAGGCCTTCATTGGTGTAATTTTTTGAATTTCTAAATTTAGAAATGAAGTAGTTTTCGATGTTGAAACTACTCTCTACCTCAAGGTTCTGAATAAACAGTATATACTGTGGTACATGTCATTATATAAATAGCATTTATAACTAGTTATATATATGGACAGAGATAGTTAACCCCTAGGGTTTTGTTGTTGTTATTGTTGCAATTTTAAAAAATTACTAAGAAAGGGCCTCCCCTGGTGGCGCAGCGGTTGAGTGCTGGGCTGCAAAGCTGCCCGCAGCTTCTGCAGCGCTGGTTCGATCCCCGGCCGCTGGGCAAGTCCACATGGTGCGCAGACCTCTCCTTCTGTGCCCGATGCTCCCCTCAGCAGTGTATTTTGTCAGTCTGCCTGTTCTGTTCCCCACTTTGGCTCTGGTGAATTCTCTCACCCTCCCGCACTTCTGACTGTACCCAGTGCTTGTATAAATAAATAAATCTTAAAAATAAATAAATAATAAAAAATTATCAAGAAAGGTGGTATCAACAGCAATTATTTCTGTGCTAAGAATTAAACATTCAGAAAGTCTCAGAAGAACTGAGACAAAGCTGTCTCTCAATTCCAAAGAAGAAACATATTGAAATTAAAACAGTTCATGTATTCAATTGGATCCCTGTCCAGGCTATGTTTAATGCAGGGATTGTGTTACGAATTTTATGTGCAGATTCTTGAAGGAAAGGATCTGATTTTCCACTCTCAGTAGCATTTGCTAAAGCAAAGAGGTATGAGGAAACTCTGAGGTTTGAATTCAGCTTCCAGAAAGTTGGTCATTGGAACCAGCTATTTGCTCAGAGGCTGGGCATAAAGCCAGCATTTGGATTTCAAACCAGCCTCAGATATCAGTTGATAGTTTTTTTTTCCCTTTGTATGACAGAAAAATGGCACATCTGAATACTGAATTGAATTATGTGCTGCAGCAGAGATAAAACTCCTGGCCAAGTAAATTGGCCCCCAAATACAAGGTGGAATGTAAAGGGAACAAACAAGGGGTTAGAAACTACTTTTGATTTGATGGCTAACTTTGGATAAATCTTCACCTTTCTGCCTTACCACTTTCCCATTGTGCCTCAGTTTCCTCTCATGCCTGTTAAACTTTAGTCCTCAAGCATAAATAAGGGATCTAGTTATTCAGTTGTGAAAAAGGGGCATGCTGAAAGAACCATAAAGATCTGCTACACTAGACCGGTTCTGACATTTTTTAGAGGAGGAAACAGACGGTTATTTAGAGGCTGGGTTGGGATGCATCTCAGGTCTCCTTCCTGTCCAACCGACTTATAAAATCACTGCCCACTCAGCCTCAGTTTTCCCTGGACACTTACTCTCCAGCTTGGATTCAAGCCTAAATCTTTTGAGTGTAAGTGTTTTCGTCTAACAGTGGAATATCTTTCACTAAGTAGTTCCACATGGAGCTGAATCAGGAAATAATGGGTAATAAAAGAAGGAAAACCCACACCCTGGAGGCCGGTTTAGTTTCAGAACCCTCGGGTAGCAACTTTCAAGCTGCGCTGTCTTGGAGACAGAGACATGACAGGCTTCCCATGTCCACCCTAGGACTCCCAGGTCCAGATTCTCCTTCCTTAATTTGGCTCCTTGGCAGCAACTTGAAAGAAAGTATCTATTTCAGACTCCCGCTCAAAGTTGAGCACCCCTTTACCTCCAAAAAAATCCTTAGATCACTTTGTGTTTCAAGGGATTGAAATCTGGCCACACCCCATTCTCTCTTTCCAATACCCTTGCCAAAGGACTCCTAGGTTCTCACACGCATTGGGACACATTCAGTTAAATGCATAGCCTTTTCACTTTGCACACACTTTTCCCTTTTACTTCCATGGTTGTTATTATGTTGTTTTTGAAATTTAATAATCTTTAAACAAGGGGAAAATTCTTAGAAGGCAAGACTAGAATTTTATAATTATAAATTTTATAATTAATCAATAAATTTTAATAATTAAATTTCATTAGTGTGTTAAAAATGGAATAACCATAGTTAACAGGAAAGGAAACAGCATCTATTGATTATATGAATACTTTCATAGGACATCCAAGGAGGAGCAAAATTAATTAGAAAGATGATCACTTCTGCCCTTTCCTGCAAATGCAGGTAAGCCAGAAGTGTTGGCAGTATGCTGGACAACCCTGTCCCTTTATGCCCCATTACAATCATCACTGGTTTCTGTAGGGTCTGCTTCTTACACCTCCCTGGAATCCATCCCCTTCTTTGCTCCTGGTCACTGGTTTGGTTTAGCCCCTTCTAACTACACTTTCTGCCTTCAGTCACTTCTACCTCTGAACCCTCTTTCCATCCTCTCGCAGATATGCGTGTTAGCATATCATAGCCTATACCACTCTCACTTAAAACATTTTGGTGGCTCCTGATTACACTCAGAGTACAAAACCAAGGCCTTTTAGCTGCTCCCTCTTCTCCAGTCTCATCTCGAGCCATCCTCCCAATACACCCTGTGCTCCAGCAATACTCAACTGTTTGTAATTCCCCGACTGTGTCTCTCTGTAGCTTCGCATATGTTGAGCTGTCTCTGTGTGCCTGGAAAGTCTCCTCTTCCTTCCTCATTATTTGCATTCACCAAGGAAGTCTCGGTTTATAATTTCCTCTGCAAAACCTTTCCTGACTTGCTCTGGCCAAATTAATTATCTCCACTCTGTACATCCCAAGCCTTGTTCTTAAAGCTGCTGTTGCATCTGTAATGTAATTACTTGTGAGTCCTTGTGACCAAAGTGATTGTTTATTCAAATTTTTTTCCTAGCTCCTAGAAGAGTATATTTCATTCATTCTTTCACAAAATTACATATTGCCCTTAGGTATAGATTGATGAGAGAAACAGCTATTTCCTTGTCTGTGAAACTTTAGTCCATGATCCCATCTTGCCTTTGTGTCCACAGCATCTAGCATGGAGTCTGACATCTAGCAGGTGACCAGAATAGATTTTGACTGACTTGTTGAATGAGCAAATATATGTCAAGCCTTTGTACATGTTGTTGCCTGTTGGTATGAACAGCACCCCAGGTTTCAGAGCTCAGTGTCAGTCCTGGCTTTGTCACTTACTATCAGTGTGGACTTGTTTCAACTTCTCCTGCAAAACGGGAATGATAAAATCTACTTTAAGAGTTGAAGGCTTAAAGGAGACAAAATATTTAAGCACTTAGCTTGAATGCCCAATACATGGTACGAGCTCAAAAAGTCATAGCTGTCAATATTTTAATCCTTCAGGATTCAGACCAAGTGCCATCTCCTCTGGGAAATCTTCCCTTATCCCTCCTAACCCCACCTGGGTTAGATGTTCTGCCTACAGATTGCCACAGCACTCCCCAGCATTATAGGCTCACTTCTCTCACAGCATGTATCACAATTATTGTCATTAATTTAACAACTTTTTTGAGCTTGTACCAGAGTCTAAATATTGAGTATAGAGTGATGGGAGGAAAAAAATGTTCTTGTTTCTTGAGAACTGAACCCTGTTTTGCCTTTGGATCTCTAGCCTCTAGCACATCTCTAGCTTCTAGCATCTAGTGCTGGACACTAATTGGTCACTGGAGACAGACTCCTTGAATGAAGAACTGGGTGTATCTGCTGTTGTTGTGTTGGCAGTTTTCAGATTTTTTGTGCTTATGGATATGAATATTACTTGAGTCTCATTTTTAACTACTCTTAATGGAGAAGAGCCTTCCCACAGGTAGTGGTTGTGTCAGTAGGTGAGATCATTCTATTACTCTTTTTCAGATTCTATGACAAGGTGCTCTCTTTGCACGAGGACTCAGGGATCCCTGTGTCTAACCCTCTGCTTGCCTTCACTCTCATCAAACGCCTGCAGTCTGACTGGAGGAACGTGGTGCATAGTCTGGAAGCCAACGAGAACATCCAAGGTAATGAGGAGGCGCACAGGAGGATAAGAAGGGAGATTCTGCGTCCTGACTTAGTGGAAAGGAGAGCGATTCTGATGTTGTTGGGGGGAAAGGATGTCCTGAGCAAACTCCATACAGGCTTTGTGGACTGCACCCCCACTCCATCAAGACACTGGGAACTACAAATCCCACGATCCCCAAAGAGAGGTTGCAAGGACCTATGGGTGGAGTTAAGCAGCCATTTTCTCAGGCTTGTGTTTATAACCAGCCATGTGACTGGGGCTCTCTCTCTTGATTCCCGCTCTTGGCTAGGCAACCCTTGGTCTCAGAGGGTTATTTGGGATTCCAGATCAGTGGAACGGGTAGGACTCATTTCAGAATTTATCTCCCTCTTTTTTCTCCCTGAGTTGTTCATTTCCTCACTTCTCCTTCCCTTGTAAATAAACCTTTTGTTAACCTTTTGTGTGTGCTTACAGTTTAAGTCCCCTTTAAGTGCACAGGTGAGGACCCACAGTCAGGCAACCCATTTTATATTGGGGTTGTCCTGTAACAATGGGATGTGATGAAGGGTAATGAAATAGGTAGGTATTACTTTATCTCCTTAGCTCTATTACAAAAAGTGAGTTTCCCTTGTTAGTATGTTTATATGATTAGACATTAGAAAGCACCTTCATATCTATTATCTTATTTGATCTTCACTACAACCCTGTGAACTACAGGTCATATATTCCCACTTATGTATGTGTAGAAAATAATGTCTTCTGGGCCTCCCTGGTGGCACAGTGGGTTAAGCACAGCGCTGTGAAGCTGTCCACAGCCTCTGCAGTGCGGGTTCAATTCCCGGCCAGTCAGGGAGATTCCCCACATGGCACGGCAGACCTCTCCTGTCACGTCTGCTGCTCCCCTCGGCAGTGCTTTCAGTCCGTCTGCCAGTTCTGCTCCCCGCTCTGTCTCTAGTGAATCCTCTCACCCTCCCGCGCCTCTGGCCTGTACCCCAGCTATTGTATAAATAAAAAATAAATCTTTGAAAAAAAGAATATGTCTTCTAATAACTTCTGTTTTATTAACTTGCCACTACAATGTTATCTGTAACAAAATCACTTTCCTAGTTTACTCTACTTTGTACTTTAAGAAGTTTGTTGGCTTTGGGGAAGTTAGAAGAGTTGTCCCCCTAAGATTCCTAGGCAGAAGGCATGGGGCTAAGGTGTCTAAGCCTTTGTCCAAGAGCATCTGTTCCTCATCCAGAAGGTAGTATTAAGCATTCATGCTGTCACAGGAATTGCTTGCCACTGGGAACAAAAATAAAACAGTATATTTGCTGAAGAAATATTTGAATGGGTTATTTTGCCTTGTAGGTATTAAATGCTCACCCCTTGTTTTCATTTTTTTTAATTTTTGCTTAGAAGAACTGGGGTATAGGCCAGAGATGTGCGAGGATAAGAGGATTCACCAGAGAGAGAGAGAGAGAGGGGAACAGAACAGGCAGATTTACTGAAATACACTGCTGAGGGGAGCAGTGGACAAGACAGGAAAGGTCTGCTGCACCATGTGGCTTAGCTCCCTGGCCAGGGATTGAACTCGGGCCATAGGAGTGATAGCTCTGAGACTTAACCTCTGGGCCACCAGGGAAGATCCCTGTTTTCTGAATGGTGGATTGATGATTTACAACCTTCACAGCTCTGAAGGATGGTTATGAGAAGGTGGAACAAGACTTACCTGTCTTTGAGGACCTTGAAGGAGCAGCAAGGGCCCTGATGCGGCTGCAGGACGTGTACCTGCTCAATGTGAAGGGACTTGCCCGAGGTGTCTTTCAGAGAATCACTGGCTCCGCAGTCACTGACCTGTACAGTCCCAGACAGCTATTCTCCCTCACAGCTGATGACTGCTTCCAAGTTGGCAAGGTAACGCTATTCAGAGGAGGAGAATGGGTTGATGTCAGTTTCTTGTGGATGAAATAACTTTATCTCAATTGATTTGACATATTCTTGATCCTGACAGCAAACTTAGAAATTTGGTATTTATTCCTCATTTCAGATGAAGGCATTGAGGTTCACAGAGTGTAAGAGCATAAGCCTGTGGGTTTTTAACTTTGAATCCCATGCTCTTCTTCAATAGCTATGGTGATCACATCCTTATAGATGCTTTTGAAAATGAAGGGAGTATTTTAGTTATGTCAGGACAGCAGACAAAAGCTGGCACTGTCCTGGGCAAATGATCTTTGCTCATTCTCAACTAGAGCACTCTGCCAGTAGATGAACAGCTGGATGGGAAGGAGAACCAGGGTTAAAGGGTGGGGGAAAGGGATAAGGGATGGTGATGTAAAGGTAAGATCATGGAACATCAGCCTCCTAAGACTCTCTGGAACAACAAATGTTGGCGAGGTTGTGGAGAAAAAGGAACTCTTCTGCACTGTTGGTGGGAGTGCAAACTGGTCCAACCACTATGGAGAGCTGTGTGGAGATTTCTGGACCTACTAAACATAGAGCTTCCACAGGATCCAGCAATTCCACTCCTAGGTATTTACCCAAAGAACACAGAAACATCAATTCCAAAGAACACCTGCACCCCTATGTTTATAGCAGCACTATTTACAATAGCTAAGCTTTGGAAACAGCCCAAATGCCCAAAAATAGATGACTGGATCAAGAAGATGTGGTACATATATACCATGGAATATTACTCAGCATTCAAAAAAGATAAACACATGCAATTTGCAGCAACATGGATGGCGCTGGAAGGGATCATGCTCAGTGAAATAAGGCAGAAAGAAAAAGAAAAATACCGGATGGTCTCACTCATAGCAGGAATCTAGAAAACTTAAATAAGGGACCAGGAAAATGAATAACTATAAGAAAGTGAAAATCAAAATCAACAAAAACTATGAACCAGAGACACTTTTTGGGGGTGGGGGGCGGGAGGGGAGGGATTGGGGTCAGAATGGGGGGATTGCAATTGTATGGGGAATATAAAAATAAAATTTATTAATTAAAAAAAAAAGACTCTCTGGAACCCTTGCAACAATCCCTAAACACTTAGAAATAGCAAATTAGTGTCAGAGAACACGCCATTCTCTTCAACAGAGAAAATAGACTGCAGGAAACTTCCATATGGGATATTTAACTGATCTTTCATAGTAGATATAAGCACACCCAAGGTCACTTTGCAATGTGCTCTTTGTTAGCCTTTGTCTCAATAAAGGAGTAAATCCTTTTTAATTTGAATATGTGTATTTCAGGAAAGTGAATTTTTCCTTTCCTGCAGTATTCATTAACAGGGCTAAGAGCGGGCCTCACATGCCCTGGTTCCAAGTTTTAGGAATCAACCTTCCAGATTAATACAGAGTGGGCTGCCCTAAGCTTGTCTTTCCTTTTCTGAGATGCCAGATGGAATCAGGCTCAGTCGTCATGTTCATGACTTATTTAAATTTACGCCAGTTTAAAATGGTTCCATATACAGAACTATTATATGCTTCACTAGTGAGGCCTTTCTGAATCTAAAACAATATGTTGAAAATTTAGTAAGTCACTTCCTGAAAGCCTCAATGACAATCTTTATTTCTGTGTTTATTTAATCATTGCCTATTTATATAACATATCATTATATTTATAATGGAGGTGAAATGTATGTTAAATTTTTGCTTTATTTTTCGGATTTCTTTAGTTTAATAATTTTTTGATATTGCTTTATTTTTTAATTGAGGTAACATTGGTTTGCAACACTGTATGTGATTCTGAGGTATAGCTCATACTTCTTCTGAGGTATAGTTCACACTTCTTCTGAGGTATAGTTCATACTTCTGAGGTATAGTTCACACTTCTGAGATATAGTTCACACTTCTGAGGTATAGTTCTCACTTCTGAGGTATAATTCACACTTCTGAGGTATAGTTCTCACTTCTGAGGTATAGCTCACACTTCTGAGGTATAGTTCTCACTTCTGAGGTATAGGTCACACTTCTGAGGTATATTTCTCACTTCTGAGGTATAGTTCACACTTCTGAGGTATAGTTCTCACTTCTGAGGTATAGTTCACACTTCTGAGGTATAGTTCTCACTTCTGAGGTATAGTTCACACTTCTGAGGTATAGTTCACACTTCTGAGGTATAGTTCTCACTTCTGAGGTATAGTTCACACTTCTGAGGTATAGTTCTCACTTCTGAGGTATAGTTCTCACTTCTGAGGTAGAGTGAACACACCACCTCCACCACCAAGGCACCCATCATCCTCCACCACAGTCCATTGGGCCCACTCCCCCTTTGCACTCTATGCCCACCTTACCCTCTGGAAACCTCATTCTATGGTCAGACTTCTAGGATTTGTTTTAGTTTAGTTTTGTCTATTCCTCTGTGTTTTTTTCCCCCATAGTTCACATATGAGGAAATTTGTCTTTCTCCTTCTAACTTACTTGTTATATTTTAGTCAGAAGTTCTAAGTCTTTATGGTTGGAAGGATTCTAAGTTATCTCCATATACCATACTGCTGAGATGTGAAGATCCTCATTAATTAAATAAATGCTAACTTAGCAAATAAAGCTTTGTTATTTTTGATGACTTGGTGATTATTCTTCAACTCAACCTTTTTACATATTGGAAACATAAAGACTAGAGAGATATCACAGAAGGTGGCCAATGTGGGGTAACTGATTTATTGTGGTTTTTTAATGTTTACTTTTCTTTTTTTTAATTTATTTATGCATACAAGAACTGGAGTATAGGCCAGGAGTAGGGAGGTGAGAGGATTTACCAGAGACAGAGTAGGGAGAACAGGCAGATCTTCTAAAATGCTCTGCTGAGGGGAGCAGTGGTCAAGACAGGACAGATCTGCTGTGCCAAGTGGGTCACCTCCCTGGCTGGGGATCAAACCCAGGCCACAGTGGCTGGCATTAGCTCTGAGACTTATCCCCTGTGCCACCAGGAAAGCCCTGAATTATTATTTAAACTTCAGAGTTGCAGTATCTGTAGATTCTACCCTATCTTTCTGCCTGTGTGGAAGTTATTCCTCAATAACATGTGCTATAAGAATCCTTCCAACTCTCTGACTTTATTACTCTATGCTGTCTCCAAAATCAACCTCCAGGAAATTCCACATGCCATGCTGGTATTCCTGTAAGCTATAAGCTATTAGGAGACAGGAGCTATGTCTAGTATGGGTTGCCATATTCCCCACATTCCAATATTTAATAAAGAACAAATGCACTGAGCTCTCCTAGCATGGCCATGTGGGGCTAATGCAATATGTTGTGATTACTGCTTATTCATGTGCCCCTTCTTTGAGTGTAAGCTTTTTAAAGGCTGGGCCACCAGATACATTATAAATACTGAGTAAAAATTATTAAGCCATTCCTCACATTGCTATGGGTATTATCTTCCTAAAAACATGCCATTTCCTTTGAGCATTCATGTCATTCTGCCTAACAGTATTTGAGTTCATATTCTTTCTTCTCCCAGATTATGAATTCCTTAAATACTAGGATTCTTGTGACTTCTCGACGTCTAGTACAATGCCTTGTATAGAACAGATGCTTAATAAATTGAATTAAGTGAATTTGAGATGAAAACATGACTTCCTGGGTTCCAAAGACTTCCACTGTTTGTAGCTTTTCTCTACTTGTGGAGTAAGGTGTTGATGATGTGCCATGTTCTCTATAGGTGGCCTATGACATGGGGGATTTCTACCATGCCATTCCATGGCTGGAGGAGGCTGTCAGTCTCTTCCGAGGATCTTATGGAGAATGGAAAACAGAGGATGAGGCAAGTCTTGAGGATGCCTTGGATCACTTGGCCTTTGCCTATTTCCAGGTAGGGGAATAAGAGAGGTTCACTGCTTTCATCCCAATAAATGTGATGTTTTACAATTTTCTAAGCATTTTCATATATCAATTTATCTCATCTTCCCAAAAGACCAAATGCAAGTCAAATGAGACAGTTATTTTATTATTTCCATATTTTTTTAAAGATTTATTTATTTATTTATACAAGCACTGGGTACAATCAGAAGCACGGGAGGGTGAGAGAATTCACCAGAGCGGGGAACAGAACAGGCAGACTGATGAAATGCACTGCTGAGGGGAGCAGCGGGCGCGGCAGGAGAGGTCTGCGTGCCATGTGGGACCCTCGCCGGTGGCCGGGGATCAAACCGGCACTGCAGAGGCTGCCGGCAGCTTCGCAGCCCAGCACTCAACCACTGCGCCACCAGGGGAGGCCCTATTTCCATATTTTTATGTGAGTAAACTCAATCTCCAAAAAATTCCTAGCTTGTCACAAAGTTTCTAGAGCTGGAATTAGACCTCAAGTCTGTCTTCCTCTTAGTCCACTGCCCTTTTTAGTGCAGTGGTTTTGCTGAAGTCTTCTGCTCCAGGCAGAGGCAGCATCTCACCTGTAGCTGCAAAACTACATCAACAAATGTTTAAGGAGTTCATAGTCCATGTAGATAACTCTTCTGCACTTTCAACAACTCTTATGCTACCAAAGTCTTCACAAATATACTAGGATATCACCATTGTCTGAGGAAGAAGTTTGATTACCATGCTTTTCCATCTTTAATCAAGTCAACTCAAACAGTGTGACCAGTGCCTACGCACAGAGCTGACATCATTGGCTCATAGTATCAGCCTCAGTGTCTCCTGCAAGTGTTGTTTGTCCTCAACACTGTTGATCTATGATCTTTTGTGCACCAAGAGGAAACTCACTTCCCTAAGTACAGAGCTACCATCTTAGGTATAGCCTACTCTTTCCCACCAGAGTTGTGTGGACTTCAAGAATTGACTAGAAAACTTGTTACAGAGCCAATTCCCTAGAGTTTCCAGAACTAATAAGCTATTTCTGCTCCCTACATTCCTTTCTCTGTCCCCTTTTTCCTGAGAAAAGGGAGGAAGATGTGGGTGGTCCAGACCTATAGGTTGCTACCAAAGCAGATTTATTCTCAATGCAGCAAATGGTCATCTCAAGAAAGTTCCTGGTAAGTTGATCTTTGCTATAAATCTTTCTAGGCTGCTTTTCCTAACTCTCCTGTTCAATTGCTGAGTATTAAAGCTGAAATAGAATCCCCGTGGTACAACAAAGGGGGAGAAGTAATTAAATTTTAATAGAAGAAGAAAATGGAGAATTGACACAGAGAAGAGAAACTAAAGCAACTTACCTTGAAAGATGGGGTTTTAAACAGGGATTGTGTTTGTTCTCTCTACTCACTCACTGGGACACTCTCCCTTTTCACAATCATGCTTTGTCTGGTAAATCTTACTCATAAGACTTAGCTCAAATATCACCTGTTTTGTGAAGTCTTTCTTAATTTTTGGCAGGCTTTACAAACGTTCCTTCTTTGTGCCCATATAGCACATTCTTTTAAAAAGTCACAGTAATGGGGGCCTCCCTGGTGGTGCAGGGGTAAAAGTCTCAGTGCTATCAAGCTATCTCCAGTCACTACGGCATGAGTTTGATCCCTGGCCAGGGAGCTAACCCACATGGCACAGCAGACCACTCCTGTCTCACCCACTGCTCCCCTCAGCAGTATATTTCAGCCCGTCTGCCTGTTCTGCTCCCCACTCTGTCTCTGGTGAATCCTCTCACCCCTGCACCTCTGGCCTGTACCCAGTTCTTGTATGCATAAATAAATAAAAAATAAATCTTTAAAGTAAATACATAAATAAAGCCACAGTACTGGAACACATGAAGCATTGTCTTCCAGGTGATTCATGGTCCTCTTTTCTCCCCAGTAAATTAGGGATAAATACCCTTCTGTGGACATATCACTATTTTATAAAATTATATATTGTATATTTTATATATCATATATGTTATATATAATGGAATAGAGTATTATAAAAATGCTTTTCATATGTTTTAGTAAACAATTATTCAGAAACTGCTAATAGATGAGAGACAGGGTAGCAGTTCAACCATAGGCTCTAGAGACAGACCAGAAATTCTATCCCATTTTGTGGTTCAAATATTTGATTAATTTTGTCAGTTGATAAATGAAATGTAGTATATACATCCAAAAAATGGTATTCGGCCTTAAAAAGAAAGGAAATTATGATGTGTGCTGCAAGATGAATGAAATTTGAAGATATTGCAAGACATACACTGTGTAATTCTACTTACAGCAGGTACCTACAGTAGTCAAATTCAGTGACAGAATGGTGGTTGCCAAGGACTGGAGGAGAGGGTCAGTATAGGGGAAATTCTGGAGATAAGTTGCACAACGGTGTGGATATATATATATATATATATATATATTTAAAGGGGAGGCAACTTTATTTTTTTAATAACTTTTTTTTAGATTTATTTATTTATTTATTTATACAAGCACTGGGTACAGTCAGATGGGGGGTGGGGTGGAGGTGAGAGGATTCACCAGAGACAGAGCGGGGAACAGAACAGGCAGACTTACGGCGGCAGGAGAGGTCTGCGTGCCATGTGGGACCCTTGCCAGTGGCCGGGGATTGAACCGGCGCTGCAGAGGCTGCAGGCAGCTTCGCAGTCAGTGCTCAACCGCTGCACCACCAGGGAGGCTCGGTGTGGATATATTTTCAATTACTAAGCTGTATACTTAGAAGTGGTTAAGATAGTATATTTATATTGTTGTATTCTATCACAATTAAAAATGATAATTTAAAAATCCTGTCTTTGCAGACTATGTAGTGAAATTAAAAATTCTCCTAGTAACAATGTAAATCAGAACAATCAGGATGTGAAATTGTGTAAAAGTTAAGAGCATAACTATGTAATAACCTCTATTTAAAGTGGTTGTGGTCCCTGGTTTTCAGCAGAGCTTTTTTTTTTTTTCCTTTCTTTCTCATATGGTTTATAGTGTGCTTATTATTACTTTTTATCATTAAAATTGAATTTCTTTAACATGCAAAAGTGATCCAAAGGAAATACAGTTCTGTGAGTTGATCATCAGCCACAGCACCCAGGGCAGGATCGCAGCCCAGCCACACGGACTTGGTTCCCCGGGTTGCCTGGAGAGCCCCTGTGTAGGCCAAGGTTGAATGGCAGCAGGGAGAGCACATAACTGTGTAGAGGGAATGCTTCAAATTTAATGTTTTCTTTGCCTCCTTCCCCAACTAACTTTGTAAACTCCAGAAAGTACTGAGTCAGGAAGACAAATTGTATTTTTATTAAGGTTTCTATAGTTCATATTAAGTTTCATAATAAAATACACCAAAATAATGACACCCTGGAATTATGTGGTTTTGCATGCTTTAAGGTTGGGAGGAGCTTTTAGAAAAATCATTTTCATTTCATTTCCTATCTTCCTGGTACGGGTGGTTATATGTCATTTGTAAGTGAGAAAATTGAGAAGTCCTGATATGCATCAGGAATGCAAATCCTGAATTAGGCAGAAAATCTGTTTTTAGTTGCCTCTCATTTCATGAGTTTTCTTATCTACTTGTGGTAAGAATATTTTGTAGTTTAAAAACATCTATTTGATAGTTTGGTCAGAGGAGATATGCTCAGTGCAGTTAACTCTTCCTTTTTCCTTTTTATTTTAATAGGCGGGAAATGTTTCGTATGCCCTCAGCCTCTCCCGAGAGTTTCTCCTCTACAGTACGTAATGATAAAGGATAAATCACAGGTCTGATTTACCAGGAAATCTTTTCTACTGCTGGGCCTTGATCTCTACAAGTGAAATGCAGCTCTATCTATTTTTATTCTTCTAATTTCATAATCCAAGTCACATTCCTAATTTTGGATTAAGACTTACCTATATACTAATCAATGCGTCAGAGGGAAATTTTCAAGTAAGTGGGAAAATGCTAAGAAGAATCACCTGTCCCTTTCCTCCCCAATTCCCCACCGGTTGTAAGTGCTGCTGTATTAGGGAACTACTTCAGGACCGGGAGCTAGTTTGTTCAGAGACATTTAAAAGACCAAAGTAATCAAAAAGAACTGTGTGTGCAAGGAAAGTGATTCAGTGGGATTTTTCACTTCGGCAGTTTACAAAGAGATACCAACCCTCCCTTTAAACCGGAGCTCACTTTGCTAGGCGAGCATCCTGTCCAGTAAGCCAGAGTTCAACTTCAGCCCTCTTCAGGCAGCCCCTCGCTCGAGTTTGTTAGAAAGAAAAGAACAGTCTTGAATTGGAGTCTCTTGTGCTAATGCCACCAAGCATAATGTTACATAATGCCACCAGGCATACATAATGTTACATAATGCCACCAGGCATACATAATGTTACATAATGCCACCAGGCATAATGCTACCTGGCATAATGTTACAGAGCAATCCCAGTGTGAAATGGGCGGCCTGACTGTGAGTCCTCACCTGAGCGCTTAAAAGGGACTTATAATGAGACTCAGCCGCATGTACACAAAAAGGGTAGTAAAGGGTTTATTTACAAAAAAGGGAAGTGAAGAAATAAATAACTCAGGGAGAAAGAGAGAGAGAGAGATTGGTGACTGCGTCCTACCAGTTCTGCTGATCTGGAACCCCAGTAGCGTGCTGAAAGCCAGCGAAAAGCCAGCGAAAGGCCAATGACCTCCAAGGCCCTCATGGCTGGTTATATACCACACCTGGCTGCTTAGCTCCACCCTCAGTTCCCAGCAAGCCTCCCTTCTGGGGTGATGACATTATGGCATTTGTAGTCCTTGGTGTCTTGGGTCTCTTTGGTCTGGGATCAGGGTGGGGTCCATAAAACCTCTTTGTGGAGTTTGTTCAGGACATCCTTTCCCCCCAACAATAATACCTAACCTAACTGTAGTTTCAGCCTCCCCCAGGAATTTAGTCTTAAAACTGGCCTGTATGGGATTTTCAGGTCGGCACCAACAAGGTAATATTTTTCCAATTCCCAAAGGAAGTTGAGATAATCTCCCTCAAGACCTTTTCCTATTCCCCAGAGGCAGGTTACCTAAGCATGAAATAATTCCTCCTTCTGTTTTTGGTTGGTTTTTTTTTTTTGTTTGTTTGTTTGTTTTTCCCTCCTTATGTTTATAAAAACCTTTCATCTCGTACAGATTTTTGGAGCTGTCTTCTACTTGCTGGATGTGATGCTGCCTGATTCAGAAATCATTTAGTAAAGTCAGCTAGATCTTTAAAAATAATGCAGTTGGATTTTTGCTGTTACGCAAGAGGGAGACCACCTAGCTTAGCCCTCTGGTTGGCTGTTTTTGCTTAACATTTTGATAATAGGTATCTTCCTGGGTTTTCCTTTAATAAGGTATTTAGATACTAAAATAAGTATGTAATCACTACTATGTTCTAACATGTATAAAGTACTTCATGTAGGACTTTATAATTGTATTTATTACTTTTTAATGAGTCCATTTAGTAACATTATTCCTTTCTGGTAATTTGGAAGTAACTGTATGATTTGGAAACATGTGGGCAATTAATACTGTAGGCAAAATTATAACGCAACCCTCCTAAAATTCCTCTGCCTGTTCCAGAGAATCCAATTCATGAGCACTTCTAAGTGGATAAGTAGGATTCAACAAATTGAGATTCCCAGTTCCATTTCTGCCTTTGCAATATTGTCATTGGAATTTTGGACTCACCATTTCCCATTCTTCCAAACATCATTTCCCCTCTTGTTAAAAAAAAGAGCAGTCATTCCTGGCCCCTCTTCTTCTCCGTGGTCAGTGTGGTAGTGGTGGTTTGGGGCACACTGAGCTCCTCAGAGAAAGTTGCTTTGGGAGCATTAGCATCATTGAGCACCTCCTGGGATGCTGAGACTCAGGCACAGAGGTCAGCAGGCATAGATGGGTACCTGCCAACACACGTGGCAGCCACAGTAGGCATGACCATGTGGGCATAAACAGGTGAAGACCATGTCTAGAACCAAAGTCAAGAACCCCTTTTGTCCCATTCTGCTCTGCACTGAGTCTAGTCCTATTAGGAATTTTGAAAAATCAAGTAGAGTTGGGAATGAATTAGCTTCTAGTTCTCCAGAGAAGAATAGATTGAGTCTTTCTACTATAGACTTTGGTTCTCTAGACTTCTCTTTCTTAGCACTTGCCTGTCATGTTTTGATGATAGTACTTATTTAATGTGTCTTCCCCATTAGACTCTAACCTCTGAAAGGTTAGCCTCCAGCACAGTGTCAGGCACCCAGTAGATATCACTGGACATATATTGAATGGATGGGTAAATGAATGAGTGAATGTATGAATGAAGCTACTTTTCCATACAGAAAATTGGTCATCACTCTAACCTATAGCAACCATCCTCAAGATTCCTTGGTCTAAGACTATCCAATGCCATTTTCCTTCACAAAGCCCTTTATAACTCTAGAGCTACCAGGCCCAACTCATTCTAATTTTAATACCAGTTACTCTTCTGAGGGTGAGGGCCTTATGTCCTCCAGTGCATGGACACAAGTTGTTATTTAAGTGCCTAGTCACTAGTAAAGCTGTAGGAGACCTTGGCATTGTTCCCTGGGATCACTGTATCAATCTGTATTGTTTCCTGCTCTGATTTCTCCTAGGCCCAGACAATAAGAGGATGGCCAGAAATGTCTTGAAATATGAAAAGCTCTTGGCAGAGAGCCCCCACCAGGCAGTAGCTGAGGCTGTCATCCAGAGGCCCAATGTACCCCACCTGCAGACCAGAGGCACCTATGAGGGCTTATGTCAGACCCTGGGTTCTCAGGTAGGATTCTTCAGGGAAAGAGAAAGGGGGAACAAGCTTGGCTAGAGAGGGAAAAGTGAATTGGAAAATATGGGTGGAAAGGGCTGATGCATTAAAGGAAACAAAAAGCTCGCCTGGGTAGGAGCAGAGTAAGCATATTCTGAAGCTACTACATTCCAGTCTTTTATGCTTTGGCTCCCTGAAATAGCAGAAACCTGGAATAGGTTTCTGCTCCTATACCCTTCTTCATTTATGCTGATTTTAGTCTTTCCTTCCAGCCCACTCACTACCAAACCCCGACCCTCTACTGCTCCTATGAGACCAATTCTAGCCCCTACCTGCTACTCCAGCCTGTCCGGAAGGAGGTCATCCACCTGGAACCCTATGTTGTTCTCTACCATGACTTCGTCAGTGACTCAGAGGCTCAGAAAATTAGAGGGCTTGCAGAACCATGGGTGAGTGTTCCCAAAGTCTGCTGAGGACAGACATTTCATCAGTCCAGGGCTTCAAAATGGCAGCTATTCCATAAAACTAATCAGTGGTGGGAAAAACCATAGTGATGGTTGCAGTGGAGGGAGGGGATTGGCTAAGAAAGGATATAGGGGGATTTTCTGTGCTCTTGGTATCTTGTTGGGGATGTGAGGGTGCATGACAGCATGCATTTGTCAAAACCCAGCAAATGGCATCCTTGAGATACATGCATATCATTGTATGTGAAGCTAACCTCCTGTCAATCACGCCATATCATTGGTCCAAGAAAAACAAAAGGATGAAATGATAGGGACAAGGAGTGGTGTCCTGTTACAGATATAAAGAATGCCAGGGGAAGGAGCTAGATCAGCTTCATTGTTTTATTAAAGAGGAAACAAAGGTGCAGAGAGGGTAAGTTCACACATGCTCAAGGTCACACATGTAGCTGAAGCCTGAACCAGAACTCAGAGGTACATTAACTGCTGTTCTGTTCCTCTACCTTCTTATGCCTGTTACAGGGCAGGAAGAGGGGTACCCCAGACCCCGCAAACCTGCCTGCTCTAAATAGGTTCTGCCATCCACTGCATCAACACAAAACATATGAGACTTTAATGAAAAGAAACTTTAATACAATTAGGAAACAATACAGGAAAGGCAAAGAATACAGTTTCTAAATCAAGCACCCAAAGTTACCCGTCCCCTCATGGGTAAAAGTCCACCCAAACAGGATTGGCCCAGAACAAGGCCCCAAAGCCTGCCCCAAATCTAAAGCACCTTCCAGGATCAGAAACAACCAGACAAGTCTGGGAGGAAATGAGCAAAATCAAAACCAAGATAAAAGTTGCCATTGTCACCTCTCCATGGGTCTCTCAACCACATCTGTGTCACCCAGTCCACGACCAAAAGGCAAGTGCAGTTTCTTCATGTGTCTCTCTGCTCTATGCACCTCCTCCCAGTCTCCTTCTGGCTCTCCATCCTGCTTCCTTCCTTCCCCAGTCTCTTCTGCAGCTTCTTCTTCTCTTTAGCTCCACCCTCCCTTGGGTAGGGCAGGGAACCGGGAACCTCCCCATTTCCTGGGGACCACCCTGTTAAAATACCAATTAACTTAGCCTATTATATCTGTAACCAGCAGCCCCCAAGTCTCAGGAGCAGCAACAGTAAAGCTTCCTTTCTTTCTCACCTTATGTTTTCTCCTGGGGTGGCTGTGCTTCTGTCCCACACTATATAACAAATACCTGCTGACAGAGCAGCCTCACTTGGGACATTGGTGGTCTCGTGGAAGAGGAAAAAGACAAAGATGGCAAACTACGAGCTGGTTGTTAAAGCTTCTGCTAGGGAGTGCTGGATATTACTTCTGCCCACATTTTCACTGGCTAATGCAAAGCGTCTGTTCTCACTGAAGTCAGCAGGGAGAATAAATCTAACTCCCCCACAGGGAAGGTGTGGTAAGTCTCCACCCTGGCAGTCTTGCTGTGGAGGGGAAGAAGACATTTAATCCTCCCAGGAAGTGTGGCAAATATTTAGAAAAATAATACTATTTTACCACTATAATAAGCATGTGGCCTCATGCAAATGGCACATTAAGACTGAATTACTTATGTCAATGTGCCCTTAGTAGTATACTGTTCATCCAGGCAGCTTTAGTCATTGTCAGCAGAACACATCCTGCTGTGTCCAGACTCCATACTGGGCGCTGGGCTTTTCCAGAGGGATTACGTAATGATACTTTCCCTGTAGGAGCTCACTGCGTAAAGGGACAACCAGAGATTTACAAGACACCGTGATGCATGTTGTTTTAGAGGAGTTGTGCTGTGGCAGCATATAAAAGGCAAACCGCTCTGAGGGAAAGGCAGGTGGGGGAGAGGAAAAACAAACAAGGCTTCCCTGCGGGTGTGAAATTCATCAGAGGGACCTGGTGATCCGGGAAGATCAAACAATCTGTGCAAGGACCTGCTGTGCAGTGTGTTCTGAGAATGAGAGGGAGCTGGGAAGCTGAAGTGTGCAAGGGGTGGGGAGGTAGGGTGGGAGGTGAGAGGAGCAGCCGTTGACCCACGGTGAAGCTGCATTAGGAAGGCAGTAAGTGCCAGGCTGGGGAGCTGGGGAGCTGTCCTCTGGGCAGTTTGTGGGACAGTTTGAAACAGGAGAGTAGTATGATCAGGTCTGCGAATTTTAAGAAAGACTGACACACACGGAGGGAGAAGAATAGCAGTAATCATTTCATCCAAAATTATTCCAGTTATGCCTCAACTCTTGGTACAGAAGATTAAGTTCCAATGCATTTTCAATAACGTAGGTTTCTCAGTGAGCCAGTGGTGGCATTCAGCCAGCAGCTACTTTTTCCTTAGAGCCGCTCTGTTGCCATGGTAACAGGAGGGGTTTCTAACCCAGGGATGTTCATTCAACCCTTCGTGGCCAGGTCATTCGTTTGGCATGCACAGACTTCATCACACTCCCCTTTCCCAGAAGGGTCCTGCTTGTTTGTCTTCAGCTACCCCAGAAATCAGCCCTTATATGGGCTTATATGGTAGTGGCTGCATCTTGGGAGTTGAACACAGATGCCTCCGTGGCTTGTGTTGAATTTATCTGCTTCCGATTAACTATCCCTTTCTCAAAGAATGTTCTCTGTCACTTCTCCCCTGCCACATCTTACACACCCTTAATGACTCGCCTGAAAGCTGCACCTCTTTTGGCCCATTAGCCCTGACCACTTTAGCCACTTTTATTGTTCCAGTAGAACATTCTTTTCAGAGTACTCTTGGGGACCACATACAAGAACTTCTACCTCCTCTGAACTGAAAGCTCTGGTAGTTGTTTGGTACTTAATTTTTCATTTATTCTGACATGTACATGTTGCCTGGTATCACTAACACTTTTGTGGGCTGACATCCTGTCTCCCCAGCAAGATGATTGTCCTTCTTACATGCCAAGCTTCATATTATGCAACCAGGAAAATCTTTAAAAGGTCACATTTGATCCTATCAAGCCCTTAATGGGTCACACTTGCCCAGGGATGACTGCAAAGCTGCTAGGCCCCGCTGTTTCCATCCCTCCCTTGCATGTCTCCCACCTACACTAAACAATGTAGCCCAGCTACACTAAACAATCTGCATTTCTGTGAGTGGGTCAAGCTCTCATCTTGGCCTGGAATGCTCTACCCTTGACCTCTTTTCACCTGTATGATTCCAGTTGTCATTTGGGCCTGCTGGGAAGCCTTCCCCACCCCTTGTAAGAATAGCCTAGTGCGCCTCTCTATTTCCATAAGGCCCTGCACTTGCCCATTAGGGCCCCATTGCAGGGGCTGATTGATTCATCTGTTGTGTTTTTAATGCCTGATACAGTGCTTAACACAGAGAACAACCATTAAGTTTCTTTTACACCTCCAAAACTAATGATTTGTAGGTGCACAATAAGTAGTAATTAAATGAATTAAGTGCAAGGTAACTCCTTTATTGAAGGTGGAGTTGGGGGTGGGCAGGAGAGCCTCTGAGATTTTTTTTTAACCTCTGATGTTGCCCTAAAAGAATAGAAGGGAGAGCTCTCATCTAGGACTCTCTCCTCTGGATGGCTCAGGAGAGGGTGCCGGAAAGGACAAGATAGAGGCAATATCGGTCCTGATACTGTATTCTGATTCTGCAGAGTGATAGACTGATGGGACCCCCAAGGACATGCTCACACATTGCATTTTATGGTGCCTGCTCTATGTGAAGGGCCTTGCCCATGTTCCAAGAGTAGAAGAGCCTTTTCCAAGCCAGAACGATAAAATTACAGAAGCCTCAGAGAAGGGAAAGGTTCCTGTCTTACGTAGTTCACTGCTCTGTGCTCTGCTCTGATGCTGGTGAGGTGCCAGGCTGGGTCTGTAAGCACAGGACGCCACTTCACCCATTCATTCCTTCGTTTCATCAGCCTTGAGCACGACTCCCTGCCAGGCCTCCGTGGATCCAGCACTGACAAAACACCAAGGTCTTACCCTCATGAGGCTGACTTCTGATGTCAGAAGCAGAAGTAGACACAAACTTATGTAAATCAACACGATTTCACTTTTTATCTCTCATGCAGTGCTTTTTCATAATTTAAAATTTATGTCCAGATATTTAGAACAAAGTAGAGACATTCAGTTACATAGTGACTTGAAACCTTTTTTTTTTTCTTTCTTTTTTTCTCATAATCACGTTGGTGGCAGCAAAAAAAAAAACAGATTTTGATTCTATGTAAGTAAGGGCTTTTGTTGGAATTGTTCAGAAGGAGCAGCTTGCCTCTGAGAGTAGAGAGTTTCTAGTTATTGGAGGTGTTTGTTTAATTTGACAAATGCTAAGTGCTTAGCACAGTCCAGACCCTGTGTCACTCATGCAAAGGTCAATGAGAAACAGCCTTTGCTCTGACAGAACTCAGAGTCTTGCAGATGGAAAAGATTCAAAGATCATTTTATTTCCATTCAACAGACTTTTATGGAGTGCTTACTGTCGACCAGATATGATGCTAAAGTTTATTTTCAAATCTGAGATTTTTTGTCAATTATTAGTATTTATTCTCAAGATTGGTAGTTATCACTAAATTTTACAACCTACCCTTTAACAGGGGAGAACCTGGCGATTGCTAGATTTATGCTTAAGAGTGGGGTTTATCCATGGAAACATCAGCCCTTTCCTTTCTATCATCTCCACTTGAACTTTCTCTTACATCTTTTGCAACAGCTGCAGAGATCTGTGGTGGCATCAGGTGAAAAGCAGGTGCCGGTGGAGTACCGAATCAGCAAAAGGTGAGAGGTGCCCCTCAGCGGTGAAGACACAGCTGTCTGAGGTCAGCAGCCATGTGGTGCCACCAGGGGCTGAAGTTCATGTTTATGTCTGCATGTTTCTTGCTATGAGGAAGCAAGAAATATACAGGCCTCTCCCCCAAGGACTGTTATATGGTCTGATGACTTAACTAACTCCATAGGGAAAGACTTAAAAAACTCCAGTCATAATTCAAAAAATAAATGTGTAGTTGTTCCAACCAGGATTTATTTTCCAGAAAATGCAGTCCTATCCCATTTGTAACTTGACCGTATAAGGTTCCATTTCCACATCCTGACTCATATTCCAAGCATGACTTGCCAACAGTTAGGCAAGAAGGAAGACCAGAAGCCTGGACCTGACCAACACTGGCCCTCACAAACTGAACCCCTCGAATTTGCTCTGTGAGGACAAGACTGATGATACGTGAGGAGAGTCCCTGTGGACTGTCCCCTGTGGACACTGGGGCCGTGGGACACAGTGATGACAGCATCTGTGGGGAGAGGTCGACTCAGGATGGGTGAATAATTTAGATTGTCTGGGAAGTGAGGTGAGTGATAAAAAAAACTTTGTTTCAGAGTCATTTAGCTTAATTTATTTGATGTGTTGCATTTATGGGCCTTAGACATTAAGAATTATTCTCCAAATTATAGAAGGTGCATATAACCTCAACTTCATGGCTTCTAACCTTTCCGACATTTTAGTGTTAAAGTTCACCCTTCTGTTGATGTTCTTGGCTTTTAGGACAGTAGGTGGTAATGTCTTTACTTTTTAGATAAAGAATTGGAGCCAGGCGTAACCTCCTCTTTTGCACCCCCCCCACCACCACCACCACTGGCCCAGCCATCTTCTGTACATCTTTGTGTTTTGGTTCAGTCCTCACAACTGCCCTGGAACTATTCCTGCAAGGTCACCAGTGAACTCCTAATCAACAAACCATTTTCCTGTCCAGGAATCTTCAACAACTGTTCTTTACCCACAAAGACCAGTCTCCTTACCATAGACTCCTCGGCTTTCTACACAGTCTGAATCTCCTCTCTCACATGTCCTCCATTGACCAAATGCTGATGACTTGGACATATTATGTATTGTCTCGCCACCATGTTTCTTCTTATGCTGTTTCTCCAACCTGAAATACCCCTGTGGCTTTTCCATCTATTGATCTTATGCCCTCTTCAAAATTTGACCTACATGTCACCATCTTAGCTTACTGCCCCCGTCAGAATTAATACCTCCTTCCTCTGGGCTTCCCAGCACTTTTTCTTAAAGGCTATTTCCCTTTTTTCACTCTCTTTTGATTCGTACACAATTTGTATGTTTTATCCTATGAGCTTTTCTTGGATGTCTTTGTAAATCTAAGAGCACATAACAGCAGTTGACATGCACTCCCCAGGAGAGAAGGAATTGTCAATAACTTCTGAAGCAAAGAAGTGGTGATACTGACTCCTTCCCTTGAACTCTCCTGCTCCCCCTGGGATGCCCACTGATTTTTCTTGGGGAACAAGGCTTCTTTTCCCAGGGCCCTGCAAGCTGATTTCAAATCATCGACTTTGTCAGACCCTCAACAAGACATTCAGAACGAGAAACTGAGCTTTTCTCTTTGGCCTATCCTGCTTTGTTCTGGAGTAGAGCAGAATTGCAGGGGTTCTTTGTGCTTACAGCAATCACTGACACATAGCCTACAAAGCATCTTCACAAGCATTGTTTCTCATGATCTTCACAAGTCTGTAGGGTAGATATTAACATCCCTATTTTTTTTGAAAGGAAGGTTTTTGTTTTTTTTTTTTTTAAGATTTTTTTTATTTATACAAGAGCTGGGGTACAGGCCAGAGACACGGGAGGGTGAGAGGATTCACCAGAGACAGAACAGGCAGACTGACTGAAATACACTGCTGAGGGGAGCAGCGGGCGAGACAGGAAAGGTCTGCCGCGCCATGTGGATATCTCTCTGGCAGGCTGGAAATCGAACCTGCACTGCAAAGGCTGCCAACAGCTTCACAGCACTGTGCTCAACCCACTGTGCCACCAGGGAGGCCCAAAATCCCTATTTCTTATTAATTTTATTTTATATATTTTTTACATCATTTTTCATTTTTGCACAATGTATGCATTTTCATCTTGGTTATATTCCCCATACAATTCCCACCCCCCCTTATTTTGACCCTACTCCCTCCTCCCCTCCGCCCCCTCCATAGTGTGTCTCTGGTTTATAGTTGCTTGTTGATTTTGGTTTTTACTTTATTATAATTAGTCTTTTTCCTGGTCCTTTATTTGGGTTTTCTAAAGTGAGTGAGACCATCCGGTATTTTTCAATAAATGGTGCTGGGAAAACTGGGTCGCTGCATGCAAAAGAAAGAAGCTTGACTACTACCTCACACCTCACACCAACTCAAAATGGATTAAAGAACTAGACATAAGACCTGAAACCATAAAATATATAGAAGGAAATATAGGCGAAACACTACATGACATGCACCTCAGCAACATCTTTAAAGACTCATCACCCAAAGCAGTGACAGCAAAGGCAAAGATAAACAGCTGGGACTACATCATCCCTATTTTTTAAATGAATACACCGAAATGTAGAGAACTTAAAGGTTAAGTGCCTGATGTAGGAAGCTTTTCCTTTGCACCTCTATTGAGATGTCTCTAAAACAGCGTTTTGGGTTTTGTCTTATTCCTCTTTGTATCCCGGGGTTTAGTGGTTGAACCGTTACTCTGTGGCTTAGTGCCTGGCACAGGGTCTGCATTCAACAGGCCTCAGAAAATATTGAATGAATGAACATGTCAATGTTGAGAAGGAGGATAAAGGGGACTGGGCAGACTTACCGTGCGGAGGGAGGAGGTAATTAGGCACTCGTGTTTCTCTTCTTTCCTCCCTTTCTTCTTACCCGTCCCTCCTTTCTTCTCTCCCCCCACCTTCCTTTGTTATACAGTTGACATCATTCATTCATTCACAGGCCATTTCTGCCATCAGATCACTGATGCCGCAAACTGTGGTGTGTTTTAGTGCCTGGCTGAAGGACACTGTTGATCCAATGCTGGTGACCCTTGACCATCGCATCGCTGCCCTCACAGGCCTTGATGTCCAGCCTCCCTATGCAGAGTACCTCCAGGTGGTCAACTATGGCATCGGAGGGCACTATGAGCCTCACTTCGACCATGCCACGGTAACTGTGCTCCATGACTCATCTCCTCAGACAGGGAACCAGAGCATTTTTTGTTTTTCGGAAGTAGAGCTCTTACAGGGCTCCCAGGAAACACTAAGTGAAATCTTAGAACAAAGTTTCTTGTTCCAGGAAGAGCTAAAAGCCTTGGTTTTAAGATGATTGCTGTTGACTCGATCAGTCAGGAGTCAGGAGAAAATGCACCAGCGTGCACCACCATCCCCCCACCTCCAAAATTTGCTAATGGGGACAAGAATGTGGTCTGTCATGGAGTCTTCTGTCCTGAGCCACTCAGTCTTGTCAGGGAAAATTGTCCTTCTTCCAATCACTCACTTTTCCTCATGATATCTACAGCCCATCTTTGCTGATAAGTATTCAGCAAGTAATTTTGGAGGCTTACATAACTGATCTGTAGATACAAAATTGATCTATATTCAGTCCAAACCTTACCAAAATTATCAGACACTTATTTATATAAAACTTAACAAATTAACCCTAAAATGTATGTGAAAATACAAAGGACTTAGACTAGTCAAAAACACAATTGTAAAAAACAACAAAGTTAGAAGACACACACTACCTGATTTCAAAACATGGTGCAGAATTAATCAGGTGGGGTGGTATTGGTGCAAGCACATAGGTCAGTGAAACAGAATGGAGAGCTCAGAAACAAACCCACACATTTAGGGTCAATTGATTTTTTAGAGCGGCGCCAAAGAAATTTAATGATGAACAGTTTTTCAACAAATGACGCTAGAAAAATTGAATACCTATCTGCAAATAATAATAAAACAATAACAATTTTAGAACCTTACTCACAGTATATATAAAAATTAATATTATCATAGACATAAATATAAAGTGCAAAGCTATAATACTTCCAGAAGAAAGTAGAGAGAAAATCTTTGTGACCTCAGGTTAGGCAAAGACATCTTAGTATACCAAAGCATGATCCAGAAAAGAAAAAGAAAAATGATAAGTTGGACTTCATCAAAATTAGTTATTTACTTTTCAAAAATACCTTTAGAAAGTGAAAAAAACAAGCCACCAAATGGGAGGAAACACTTGCAAATCATATATATAGTAAATGACTTTTATCCAAAATATGTAAAAGATTCTTTAAAAGATAAAAAAAACCCTCAATTTTAATGGGATTATTTGAATTATTTTTTAACAGATTATTTGGGTATTTCACCCAAGATGAATAAATGAATGAAGATGAATGAATGACCAATAAGCACATGAGATATTCAACTTCATTAATGGAATGAAAAAAAACACAATGAATTAGAATAGCTGAAATAAAAGTAAACATCAATGAGGAACTAGAACCCTCATACACTGTTGCGGGGGGGTGGTTTGCAAAATGATACTGCCACTTTGGAAAACAGTTTAGCAGTATGTTTGTGTTTTTTTTTTAAGTTAAACATAACTGCATATGATTCAGTCATTTCACTCTTAGGTATTTTAACCAAGAGTGAAAGGATTCTATGTTCATACAAAGACTTGCACACGAATGTTTATAGCAGTTTATTTGTAATATTCAACAATTAGAAACTATCCAAATATTCATCACCAGGTGGAAAGATAAACACATTTTTCTATATATGCCCAATGGAATACTACTTAGCAATAAAAAGGAATGAGCCACTGGTATGCCCAACAGCATAGATGCACCTTAAAAACACTTTGCTAAATGAAAGAAGCCAAACAAAAGATTCTAGATTTTATGATTTCATTTACATGAAATTTCTAGAAAAGGCAAAGCTACAGAGACAAAAAGTAGATCAGTGATCGCCCAGGTTGTAGAAGTGGCAATCACCTGCAAACTGATATGAAGGAAACTTTCCAGCTAACGCAGGTGTTCTAAAATTGGATTGTGGGAAAGTTTGAACTGTTAAAATTTACTAAAACATACTGAAAAGTACTCTTACAATGGGTGGGTTTTATGACATGTAAATATATTTCAGTTAAACTGTTCTATGTTGTGTTTCCTCAGCAAATAATTGGAAAGTCTGTTCTGAGTCAGTATTCTTACAGAATAATTATCTGTAATAATTTACATATTAATTTCTTTATTTCACTGAGATCTCAGAGGTGCAGTTAATCCCTCAAACAGAACTAGCTTTTCTGTTTGATTAGTAAATAATTCATTTACATGAGTAGCTAGTAAATTAATTTTTAAAAAACTTATCAAGTATCTGCCAGCAGAGAGAGGCAGAAACTTGACTATGTGTAGCTCCAAGTCTTCTCCCTATATTACGGTGGAGTCCTGGCTACCCCTCTGCTACCACCTGCTTAAAATGTTGAAATGTTCTATTTTTGTCTCAGTCACCAACCAGCCCGCTGTACAGAATGAAGTCTGGGAACCGAGTTGCAACATTTATGATCTATGTGAGTCTTGCTGTGGGGGGTCAGGGCTCCTTACTTAGTGATTATATCACTTGTATTTTAAGGTTTTCAAAGCAATTTCTGATACTGATTTTATCAGCTAGAGCACCAAGACTTTTTTAAAACTCAAACTGTTCTTGTTAACTCCTTTCGGAGACATAAAGAAATACAAGCCAGAGTTCCGGTGTGTAGATCTAAATAGGACCTCTAATCAGTGGTCGGCACTGATTAGAATGGGAAGTGGGGTTATGATAAAGATCAAGAGACCCTGGAACCTGAACAACGCAAGTTTAGCAATTAAGGGTATAGTTGGTGTGGAAAAGCATGCACCTCTCGGTGAGGCTGTGGAGCTGTGAGGGTTTGAAATCGAGAAGAGAAACGAGGCAACTAAAATTATAAGAAGGAAGAACAGAGAAGCCTACCAAGAAATTCAGCAATGCTGCTCTCACACGGAGTGAAAATTCTCTTCCTTACCTGCCCATCCAGTCCTCGGGAAAGTCTACATTACCCCTCGCCCCTTAATAAGTAAATGAACCTCTTCTAATTTCTAACCTGAGCCCACAGGATGCATCCAGGTCTTCGTGTCTCCCCCTTGAGATCATGTGTTTACCTCCTCCTCTATGGACAGGTCATAATTGCAATCATCTGTTACTAAAATTATCAGAGGGATAAATGTGATGCAGAACTTGGAATGCCAGCCGGAGGGGTGAAAGGATGGGCTTCCTAAATACTGTCCTCCTGTGGCCTGCTTTCAAGCACAGCTGCCACTGAGTAGGCACCCTTAATTCCTAATTGGGTGCTTGACTGCTAGTAAGTATTCTTCCCAGAGTTGAAAGAGGGAATCCATGCAGAAATGACATCAGAGGCCAGGCAGGGCAGAGGAGAAATGATGTCAGATGTCAGGCGATTTCACCTCTGGTTCTTCTGCTTGTAGCTGAGCTCGGTGGAAGCCGGAGGAGCAACAGCCTTCATCTATGGCAACTTCAGCGTGCCTGTGGTGAAGGTGAGTGGGGCTCTGCTTGCCACAGACAGTAAGAGCGCGGAACAGCCTAGCATCCCTGCTGGGGGGACTTGTACATTTATTCCTGGGAGGGGGCCCAAAGAGGTCTTCCTGATGACCAGAATCAAAGATAAACCCTCCATCTTCTTTCCTTCCCCATGTTACTTGCACGTCTATTCTGTATTTACTCGTGCATTGCTAGTAGATGGTGACATGCCTGCCTTCCCTACAACAGAGCCCCTCAAAACAAAGAACTCTTATTTTATCACCTGTGGATCCTCTATGGTATCTGGCACCTTAAGTCATCCGCTGAATAAATGCTGAAGGCTGAAGGCCTGAGGATGCAGGAAAATCACAGTTCGGAGAAGTTAGTGGCCAGTGGCATCGTAGCATTGCAGCAAGGGCTCTGAGGTCAAGCCGGGCACCGAGAAGGGCCTGGGGCAAGCACTGTGTTTAATGGGTGAATATCTGCCCCCAGATTTCCGATCCGTCAAGGTTCCTGCAGTGCTGACCTCTTTCAGGGAAGAATGAAGGTCATGAAATCACCTCAGTAAAGGTTTAGCGCAGTGCCCCACACCTGAGCATTTGGTAGAAAATGCTGGTGTCTGTGAACACTCCGCGGCTTCGTGCTGCTTCTGGCCTGGAGAACGCAAGGGCTGCCAGTGAGTGCAGAAAAGCTCTTCCTTACCGTGGGCTTTGTCTGTATCTGATGGTCAGGGTTAAAGTAAGTCGATGGGGAGGGAAGAAAAAAGAACACGTAGGATTTGGAGTCAAAACCTGGGCTTGAGTCCTGATTTTGCTCCCTGCTTCCTGGGGATTATATTAATGAATGCCCGAGGAAGGAGAAGTGTCTGAATTAATTAAGTTCTTAGTTGTAAAGGAATTATTTTGTGCGTCTTGTGGTTTTTATTGAGTCCCCACCCTAGCAATCTTGGAACACCCGGTGCTTTCTCCTAGCCTTGCTGCACTGTCTTACTCAGGCCTGTTTTTGTGTCTGTCTCTTCCACAATACTGAGCTCCCGAGAGCAGAAATGGACAGGACTTTTCTCTGCACCCTCGGGGCCTGCAGCAGAGTGGGCCCTCCATAAGCGACATGTGCATGAATGAACAAGGAAACGGCACCTTATTATATTTCATGCCATTTGATGAATGGGAGCAGACGCAGCTCCCAATCTGCATGCACACGTCTCTTGTTTCATGACATGTATACATTTGTTTTTAAATATTCTTAGTGTATTTGTTCATGTGCTTCCACAAGACTGAGAAGGGGACTGATCTCCCAGGGCTGGGGCTGTCTTGTTTCCAGAATGCAGCTCTGTTCTGGTGGAACCTGCGTCGGAGTGGTGAAGGGGATGACGACACGCTTCATGCTGGCTGTCCTGTCCTGGTGGGAGACAAGTGGGGTGAGCCTGCCTTTCTGGGCATTGGATGTGGGGCGAGGGCTTCAGAGTACAGTGAAATGGGAGGCGGATGGGAAATAGCACAGGCCTTCCATTCCGCATGTGCCACGTTGTATTGAAATGATCAGATTCTGGGTTTCCTGCCCCCGACAGATGGGAAGCCCATAAAAGTCCCGAATCTGTCAGTAAAAGTTTATTGACCTGATCAGATAGGCCTTGATTCCAGAGCACAGTTGAGGCATATGGTATATGCCCCAGCCCGCTAGGCCAAGGACGGAATCATCAGTCCGGGACGCCGCCATTTAGTGTCACTCCCCAAGGAGACGGGCACACAAGGAGACAAGTAAACAGTGACCATGTTCACATCATCTGTGGGCCCAAGGGCACTGAACTCTGAGGACAGAAAAAGAAGCAGAAGAGGGACTTCTGCACCAAGAAGACACCGGCAGGAGTAGCCACCTGCTTCCTCTCATCACTCTGGAGGGGCCCCATGGGGGGCGGGGAGAGGGGGTTTTCAGGAGCTATGTGAATGGGGGGTGACCTTAGTGTTCACAGTTTTGGAAACCAGTGTATGCTAGACAGGCCCCGCCGGGCACTCTTTCCAGAGGACAGTGTCTTCTTTGCTGTTTACCTCCGCTAGCAGCAGCGGCTCGCAGTCCACAGCGGGGCTGGGGTCGGGGGAGGTGAGTGCATTGCTGAGGGTGCTGAAGGAGGCCCTCCTGGGCCTTGGGAGCGAGCATGGCTGCCATCACCGGCCAAGTCTGATCTCTTCCTCCTCCCCTTTCTCTCCCAGTGGCCAACAAGTGGATACATGAGTATGGACAAGAATTCCGCAGACCCTGTGGCTCAAGCCCCGAAGACTAAAATGTTGGCGGAGAGAAGCTGGTGACGTGCTATGGCTTTCCAGAGAAGCCAGAAATCAAACAGTAGGTAGGAGAAGAAAGAAGAAAGCAGCCTTCTACAGGAGGGCCTGGTCACTACCACGTGCTCCTTGCCAGTGGGAGACCGGAAGGTGGTCTTTGCCAGGGAGCACCTGAGAACGTGCGTTGTTTCTCCTCAACTCATGATTCAGCATAGAATGGACAATGCAAAGAATGGGGCAAGAGGAATAGAAAGAGAAGTTTCTGGAGCTCAGATACTCTTTCTAGGGAACGGAACATGTCAATAGCAATAGTGGCGCTCGGGTCACTGAAGGAGGGGGCCTGACTGCCTTGGCTTTACGATCTTCTCCCCAGCGACTTCTGCTGGAGACAGTGGGGCGTGTCTGTGTCCGGGGTGTACCTCATGTGATGACTGTTTTTTAAGCAGAAAGCAACTTTTTTTACATGGTGATTTTTAATGGTCATTAAAAATGGTTTTTACAAGTCATTTTGACAGCCTAGAATATTCTTATGTTAAAACATTGAGTGAAAAGAACAGGTTTTTATTCATGCTATTGCTCCAATCCCAACTTGGCTCAGCTCCCACCACCCCCTTCTCACACTCAGACACACGGACATTCTTTCCAGTTCCTTAATCCACCCTGCTCGCTGCCATCAACATCACTCCTGCTGTGTTCACTGCTTTCAAATCCTGCCGTTTCGGAGCAATTCTCATCATGCCATTAACGCTCAGTGTCCCTTTGGAAAGGACTTCCCTGCCCCTCAGCCGCCAGCCACTTTCTTTTACGTTAACTGGTTTTATTTCTTTTTAGCAATTTTTCTCAAATTGAAATGACTTCATTATTTGTCTGATTATGTTCGGTTGCCTTCCCTGCAGGGCGAGTGCATGACACCCCCACGATGCTTTAAAGGTGCTTCTCTTAGAGCCCCCACCTCACTGCATTTCTGTATTTGCTTATTTGCCGACTGCTCATTCTGCACTGCTTATTCCTTATTCCAGAGACAGCCTGGTTCAAAATACGGAGGCATTGAGCAAATATTTTTGGATAAATGAATTAGAAGGCATCCTTTGAAAGGCACTTTGGAGGACAGGTTGCATTTATATAGGCAGAGTCTAATAAGCATTTCCCAGCAGTATTAGCAAGAGCTAAGGCTGCGTTGAAGGGCGAATATAATATTTGAGCACTGGTGCGAAGAGAACATTCCCAGTGACTCAGCTCAGAATCTTCATGGTCAGGGCTTGTGCCTTGTTCACAAAGAAGCCAAACAGTTCAAGGACTGTCTGGTTAGATGCCTGGCGGCCTCTGCCCCCTCCCTGTACTATGCGCTAAAGCATTTCTGCTTCTCGGGGCTCGTGGCCCCTGAGGACAGGGTTCTGATGAGCTGACATCAGCTTCCTCTACATGAGCCCTGGTCACATCCCCATATTTCTGCTGAGTATACCCAGATTCTGGAAATCCTCTTAGTAAATTACTGTTGTGTAGAACAAGGAAAATATTTTTCCCTCTATCCTGAGAGTTCTTGTTAAGAGAGGACAAATGAACAAGAAAAAAAAGTTTCTTACCACATGTATAGCATGTATAGATAGGAGATACCCAGGTGAAAAATGGTTACTCCTGAGGTGACTGTGCATTCAGGATCAAACGCCATCATGATAGGGACATGGGAGGGGGAGGGGGTGTAGGCCTCCGAGGGGAGCATAGGTCCCGTGTAGCAAAGACCGACTGCCTTAGAAGAACAAATGGGAGGTACGACAGTTTGCCACAGTTGGTCTGGGTGTGGTGGGGGTTGCTAGTCTCTGCAGGGACAGGAATCCGTCTCCCCAGGATGACGAGTCTCCCACGAAGAGATGATGACAGCTGAGTTCTTTATCGGGATCTGTCTTTAGGCAGAGAGGGCAGAGTTCAAAGAGAGCGCCTCCCTTATTTGCAGTATTAACGTGCCTAAAGCTCAAATAATATATCAAAGAGACTTATTTGGGGATTATTCTGCTGCCCTGCAGTAGACACACCGACGACCTGCTTCTTCCAAATCTGGAGGAACCGGCCAGAGACGGGAGCTGTTGCACGTAAGCGGCGCTGCCCTTTCCCTGCGGAGTTAAGAAGTGGTTAGAGCGATGGCGAACGCAGCAAGTGCATGTGCTGGGCGCCCTTCAAGTGACTCACCTGTATCAGCGCTATCATGTTCATCCCAATCGTGTGGAGGCCAGCCCATATTATCCTCATTTTATAGATAGAAAAGGAGAGAGAGAGGTAGGCAACTTCCCGAGATCCACAGTCTGGCTCCAAACCTTGTGCTTTGAGCCACTACTTACACACTTCTGAGGAAAGTGTGGTAATGCTCAAACATCTTTTTTCTTTTTAAAGATTTACTTTTATTTATTTATGCATATAAGAACTGGGGTGTAGGCCAGAGGTGCGGGTGTGTGTGTGAGAGGACTCACCAGAGACAGAGTGGGGAGCAGAACAGGTGGACCTGCTGAAATACACTGCTGAGGGGAGCAGCGGGTGAGACAGGAGAGGTCTGCCTCGATATGTGGGTTAGCTCCCTGGCCAGGGCTGGAACGTGGGATGCCAGTGGCTGGGGATAATTTGATAGTACTGAGACTTTAACCCCTATGCCACCAGGGAGGCCCTGCTCAAATACTTTGACCAGGCAACTGAGACCTAAGAATGGCCTGGCTGCATATTAAGCAACGACTGTTTACTGAGCATTCCCCAGGGGCAGACCCTCACCTGGGGACGCTGCGGGGGTGCTGAGAGGTACAGGATGCAGTCTCTGGGGCTAGCAGCCAGTATGGGGATGAGACAGATTCATCCAGAATTAAGTGTTGGTTAAGCACATGTGAAAATGTTGCCTGCAATAAAAGATGGACTACTGAGTGCTACAATCAAGACCTGAAGGGGTCACCATGGCTTGGGGTACTTGATAGCCTCCTTTATTCAAATCGTATTGCCAAGGTGCTGCCTCAGTGTCTGCCTCAGTGCCAGGCATTGTGGGTACCAGGAATGGAAAAATTAGGTGCTGACTGTGCCTAGGCCCTCACATCATCTTGTGATGACAAGATAATGTGGTCATAGGCGGAGACAGGAACAGAGCAGAGATGTCCCCAGAGGGGTCATGGGCAGGAGAGACTGACCAGGTCTTAAATGCGTGTTGGGGGCTTTATGGGGGTTGGTCTCTGGAGGCTTGGAAGGAGGGGCAAACAAGGAACGCCTGTCACTACCTTTTACTTTGTACATGTAGTTTCCAGAACACTTTAGCACTGCTTCCCTTGGCCCTCACCTTCGCAGGGAGAAAAGGACAGCAGCCACGGTGGAAAGCAGGATCCAGGAAGGTTAGTGGCTTTACTGTGGTCACACGGTAGAGCTTGGCCTAACCACAGGTCTTTGGCTCCAGGCTTTGGCTTGAGTCACCAGTGTCCCACTCAATGGTTTTCAAAGCATGTCTCTCCATTTTGCTTCCTGCACTGTTAATTCACTTCTTTCCTAATAGGCTTGTTCAACCCAGGCTGCTGGCATTGCACTCTACATTCTCACTCCGGAGAACATTCTTTACATTAGTGACCATTATCATGCTAAAGGTCACATAGCTAAGAAGTGGCAGAAGCAGGATTCAAAGGCCTTAAACAGCCCTCTGTTGTCTGCATTACCTGCTATTTTGCTCTCATTGCTTTGCATCCATTGACAATAACATCTTTTAGGGGGAACAATTTTTGAGGCATTGCAAAGTCTATCCACTGTACCTCTAATGCCTAAAGGTGAAGAGCCCTGTCAGATGTAGATGTTTGTTGACTATACCAAAGAGTCACCTTAAAGCCAGATGAACTGTGGACCCTGTTGTGTGACCAGCTCCATGCTCGATGCTCCATGAGAATCTAGAAAAATCTGGAGACTTGCTTGCTGCCCTTAAGGCAAAATTAGCAAAATTCTGTAAAAATACAGAATTAAAGATAATCGGGTGGGAAAATATGGTGCTTACCCCGAATATCATGGGGGACACGAGAGAATCCTATGGCTAGAGAGGGCTGAGGGGACTTCCACACTGGAGCCCCAGGAACACCCTGGAAATAGTGAGAGTGTGAGTCTGGAAGGCAGGGGGCAGGGGCCCCTGCCTTGTATCCCTTTGCACAGGAGGGGGGCTGGGAGAGCTCCTACAGGAGGAGGAAGGTGTTGATTCTGGGGGGCCCCATCCAAGAGCAGCCAGCACAAACTACCCTTTCATGGAACCAGTCAAAGAGTGCCCTGTTTGGGGGCCTTGCCTGCTCAAACTGGGAGAAGCCGAGAGTGGGTGGGTCGGGGAGAGGTACGTTTGCTTGCAGATTGCTGCACACACAGCACAACTATGAAATCAGCTAGAGGGGACAGGGAGGAAACAAACATTTGTGACTACTCTTTGCTAGCTATTCTATCATCTTTTATCTTATTCACATTTTTTATCCCTTTTTGGCAAAGGAGAAAAGGGAGGCTCAAAGATTTCCCTAAGTTTCCACAGCTGGAGGTGGAGTCAGGATGTGAAGACAGGTCTCCCATCATCCCACCAGCTTTGTCTGACTTCTCTTTCTCCCTGGACTTTGTCTATCCTCACCTCGGCCTCCCCGCAACTTCCTCCCGCTAAGGAGAGCCTGCCTCTATTCCTTCTCCTTCGCTCCCCACTGCCTCTTTTATTCCTTTTCTGCACACCATGAATCTCCCATCAAGTGCTTCATCTGTCAGTTTCCCCTCGGGGCTGACAGGCTACATGGTATAGCTTCTTGGGCGCCCCGCTGAATAGGAGGTCTGTTGTTAACAGAAATGGACCACATATGACTCTCCTTGCAACTGAAATCAGTGGCCTGGAAAATGCAAAGCTGATCTCAAAGGAACAGGGTAGTTAAGGGTGGATTCTAGGCACCAGGCTATCTGTCTGGGTGGCGACAGTCTTTTGGTGAAGTTTAAGGGCATGACCTAGATAGATCCCCATGATTAACTACCACCTCTGTCATCTTCAAAGTCTGCCATGTTTTCGGTGGAGCAGAGCTAAGGAATTCCCACCACGGCCTCTGTTCGTCTACCCTGCACCACCCGGGGCTGGAGGCCAGCAGTTACTTTCCCTGCCCAGAAAGGTGAGATTTGTCTGCAGTGTCACAGTGTGTCAGGGTCGCCTCTCCTTTGGGATTCCCAGTCAGGATGAATGCACCCCTGCCTTCTTAAACACGGCATGTGCTGCTTTTCACCTCGGCTTTGCAGGAAGCACACATTTCCTATACCTTCTATACTGAGGTCTCATTTCACCCTTATGATACCCTGTGAATTAAGCATTACCAACCCATATTTTTGATGAGGAACCTGAAATCCTGAAAGAATGTGTCAAAGGTCACCCAGCTGATGTGACTGAACTGTGTGTGGAGCATGTCTCCTGTCGCAGGCCCCAGTTTTTGTCCACACTCCTGCCTCCACCTCATCTCTGTTGTGGAAGGCAGTGGCCTGGGAGTCAGGTGCTCTGAGCTCTAGTCCAGATTGTACTACTGTGTCCCCTTGGACAAATTTTTTATCAAAACTTTCATTTCCCAGGGCCTCCCCGGTGGCGCAGCGGTTGAGCGCTGGGTTGCGAAGCTGCCCGCAGCCTCCGCGGCGCCGGTTTGATCCCCGGCTGCTCCCCGGTCACCAGAGGAGGGTCCCACATGGCGCGCAGACCTCTCCTGCCGCCCGCTGCTCCCCTCAGCAGTGTACTTCGGTCCTTCTGCCTGCTCTGCTCCCCGCTCTGGCTCTGGTGAATTCTCTCACCCTCCCGCGCTTCTGACTGTACCCAGTGCTTGTATAAATAAATAAATCAATCTTTAAAAAAAAAAAAAAGTTTCATTTCCTCATCTGTAGGATGGCACTGCCCGTCTGTCTGTCCTACCCACTCCACAGAGTTGTGTGGTCTCAAATGTATGCAAATGTGCTTTACAAATGGTACAAACTGCATCGTGTCATTTATTCTAAGCGTATTCAATCAGTCATCAATAGGTGGTATCATCAACGCCCATGGTTCTCTCCACTCACCTGCAGGAGGCCAGCTACTTGGCAAGCGTCAGGTTCCAAGCTTTCGCCTGGCGATGCACAGGGGTTTTCTAGCAAACTGCCGGGAAAGGAAGCCAGCTCTAGGAATAAGGGAGCCTCTTGAGTTTACATAACTTTCTGAGCCTTGGACCCGGACTGAGAATGTGTTGACTCTGGCTGCTGATGGGGCAGCCAGCTAGAGCAGAAGTGTTGGCTCGAAGATTACAAATAAAACACTGTTCCCGCAGGGCAGAGTGTGACTGCTTTCTCTCCTCCAGCTACAGGTTCTCTTCATGCTTTTCCTGTTCAAGTCTTCACCATTTAACTCCCTGGACCCGGTTGTGATTTGAGACCCTTGAATCCAACTTATGGGTCTTTGTGGTTTCTGTAACTGGATCTCTGTCATGAGCTCATTGTAAGGGTATTATTTATCACTATATCCAAAGCCCAATGGAAACAGCATGAAGTAGTGTGCTCAGGTCTACTTAATCAGCAAATAAATGCTCCTAATAGTAGATTTAGAAAGAAGTGAGGCCCAGTTCCTCACATCCCTTTGAGTCCCCTTGATCTCAAGATTCTTTTTCCATCATTACATGTGTCTACCTGACATTTGCCTACTTTCCTTTTTCAGGAAGGAATTTTCCTTGAAGTTTTCAGAGTGTGTGTGTGTGTGTGTGTGTGTGTGTGCGCGCGCACACGCGCACGCATGGATTTTTGTTTGACTCAAATGTGATCCTTCTGACCTTGAAGAAATCCTTCAAAGGGCCTGGGAGTTTCCTTTATTCCCTTCCTGAGTTCGTAGTGCTTGATCTGTAGGATCCACAAGGGTATTGCTCTGGCCAGCACCTCACAGGTGTTTTTAAGGGTATGCTGGGTGAACATATGGATGATCCTTTTTTCTCTGCTGAGGTGTAAACGGCGTGCTGAGCAGTCAGTGATATTGCCAATGGCTGAGGGCAAGTCATCTCACATCTGAGCTTCAGCTTCCTTGCCTTTAAATGGGGGATGATAATGCCTATATTTCACAAGGAGACAAAGGATAAAGCAGATGTGACTAGCACAGTAGCTAACCAAAGCTAAACAAACCTTTATCCTCAGCCTCCATCTGTTTCCTTGGTGATCATGCCCTCGCTTTTTTAAGTCAGACATCTGGACCAAAGTGACCTCTGCACAGGGTCCTCTGTATTGTTCAGGAGACAGCGTGAAGCAGAAACCACCCTAGGTTGTTTGAATTTCAACACCATTTCTGAGCTGTATGGATTTGGCCCAACTGCCTACCTGTAAAAAAGAATTTCACATGCACCCTGGAGGGGCGCTGAGGGTTAAATAAGTGTGTAAAGTGAGTTACAGGATGCTCAAAATTTGGTAACTATTATGACTGCCCTGGTGAACAAAAGTGGCTGATGTGTGAGCCTGAAAAACACACAAATGATCATGCTGCCCCCCTGTGGAGAAAGGGCACAGCCCAGCAAAGGCACCCCGAAAAGGGCTTGGTGGGAGAAATTAGATGACACAGAAGGCACTTTAATCCTCCGCAAGGGAGCTTATGCTTTACCCTGCCATATTTAGGAAACAGCGATGCCAGAAAGTGTCGGAATTGTGTCAGAAAGCAGATTAGTTCTGACTGAACAGGTCTGATGGGGACAAAATCTCTAACACATTTCCAGATGACAGGGATGCTATCGGTTCATAGACCACTTGAAGTCAAGGTTTTAACACCGGAGACCATGGCAGGAACTATCTAGTAAGAGCCTACCATGCGTCAGTTGTTGAGAGAGCCTGTTCACTTATATTAGCTTATGTAGTCTTCAAGACCCTGTAGGGCAAGTACTATTTCTTAATTTTTCAGAGAAGACAACTATAGCACAATGAAAGGAAATGCATAACTATCTCATATAGCCAGTAAGGAGAGGGCTATAGGTTCTAATTAGGCAGCCTGGCTCGAAAGCCTGTTAAGAAGAGGACTCGACTGTACATAGATGATGATCAAGGGAGGAAGGGGTTGGGGCAAAGAACCAACAAGGGGACGAGGTGATCTAGCTAAGAGATGAGGCCGGAGATGGGGCAGAAGCTGTGGGGTGGAGACGTGGAAAGAGGATGGGCAGTTTGGTGGCAGACTGGAGATGAGGGAGAAAGAGTTCCTGGACCCAATTCCAACATGAGTGTGTGGAGGCTTCCCCACAGCTACAAGTTCTCAAACACGACCAAGGTGCCCAAAACGTCAACTCAATTCTGACACTACCTAGAGATGGCATCAGACTCTATTCTCCCAAGACCACCCTCTACTTTGGATGCCAGTTGCAAGCCAAAGCTGTTACCTTGCTTCTGACCAACCTACTGCAAATCAGAGGTTCTTACTACCCCCTCCTCAGATTCAATGAATTTGCTACAGTGGTTCACAGAACTAGAAAACCCATTTATTACCAAGGGTGTTATTCAGAAACAGCCAGCTGGAAATGATGTATAGGGCAAGGAATGGGGAAAGCTTCCTGTTCCCCAATATGAAGGCTCTCCAAGCCCTTCCTCACAAGTCTGGGGGTTGAAGTAGAAGTTCCAACTCTCTAATCACAAGACTGGTTCTCTGACAACTGGCTCCCATCCTCAGGTGGGTTCTGAAAGTCACCTTATTCCTAATGGACTATGGTGGAGGGTTAGTGGGACTCTGGAGTGTGTGTGTCACAGGACACGTATCATACCCCTAAAACACATACAGTGTTGTAAACCAATGTTACCTCCATAAAAATAAAGCCACCCTCATTAACATAACGAAAGGCAGTTTTTATTACTCTCAACACTTAGAAAATTCCAATTATTTGGGGACCTGTGAGCCAGGAACCGTGGATGAACACTAAGTATCTAAGAATTTTATAAGAAATATAAAATTCTGATTATAAATCAGATTATAAAATCAGATTATAAATAACTGTACTGTAAGAGATCTTAACCTGTAACACTAAATCATATATAGCATTATAAACCATTACTTCAATAAAAAACACCATTAAAAAAATCACAATATTAAAGATGTAAGAGAGAGAAAGCCATTCAGGGAGACCTTGGGTGTCCTGATTGGACAGCTCGAGAAATGGTGATACCTACCACAGCTAAGCGAGGAAACATGCGAGGAAGAACAAGTTTCAGGATGAGGGTGAGTTCTGTTCTAGAAATGGTCAGTATGAGTGACTTTCAGTCATCTGGTAATGTGAAGAGGTAGATGGACTCAAGTGTGTAAAGTTCTGTAAATAACTGTTACAGATGGGACTGGAATCCAGGTCCCCACTGGCGTGGAAGCTAGCTCTGTTGATCCCACTGGGCATTCTGCAGCTCTCCGGGGTCTAAACGAGAGAACAGTCCCCTGCCCCCATTCGCAGAAATAAGGACAACTCCATAGAGAAAGACCAAATAAAGGTTGGGAGATATTTATTTTTCTTTAAACAAGGTCATAAATAACAAAGAAACAAGAAGGTCCCAGATTCCAGACCGTGCAGCAGGACAGGGATAGGAAGTCGTTTAGTGGAAGGTGGAGGGGCCTACGCATCACCTAAGAGTCACAGAAAAGATGGGCTTCAGGGGACTGCCCCCTCTGCCCTTGGAAATGGCGTGCCTGGGCAGCAGGGGGAGGCTGCAGTGCTGTGATGAAGCAGCTGGAAGAGGACAAAGATAAAGGATGCTGGGTTGTTCTATGAAGAGTGATATGGAAACCACAAACAGCAAAGATAAGCTGTGGGTCTAGAAGAGGCAAGCGGGCACTCTGCACATCTCCAGAGATTGATTATGAAAATGGTTAAATCTGATTCTTAAAATCAACTCCACAGGCTTTTTTTTTTTTTTGGCCTATGGCTTTGTGCATGGGCTGTATTTAACCTGGGTTGCACTGTGGCAGGTGAGGGCTTAAGGGACCCTTGGAGCAGCCTGGCCTCAGCCCAGGGCAGGTGCCCAGACATGTGGGAGTGGGACAGTGGGCTCTCCTCAGATGGGAGGCCATGTGCTTGGACTGGCTGGACCTGATTTTCAGGCTGGTTTCTTGTGACGCTATCCATCATCTCTCCCTGTATCTAAGGGTGGGATGGAACCTGGTCTCTCTGGGTCTTCCAAGCCTGGAAGAGTAAGACTGATAAAAACATACCTGACTGGCTTTTTGTCTGAAAGGGAAAAATAAGGACCACCCTGTCCATGGTCCATCCTGTGAGGTAGGGCAGGACCATGCCAAGAACAATCTAAAGAGTGGAGGTCCCTGAGCCTGGGGAGACATTTGACCCAGGTGCATTGCCCAATGCTAGGAATAGGGACCCAGGGTGGTGGATCTGATGGAGGCTTCACCGTAGGCAAGGCAGGGAGAACAGGCAGGGGCTACCCCTGTACAGGGAAGGGGTAGGAGCTAGGGAACCTCGGACTGGGGAGGCAGATGTTGGTCAAGGACCCTGGAAAACAATGCTTTTGGCAGGAATACATGAACAGGTTTGTACATCTGGGGATGTCCATCTGTAGGGAGCCAGTGTCACATGGCCGGGCAGGATGGTGAGAAGACAGCGGCATCACAGTGGCCTCTGGTGCAATGTATTTATAACAGAGCTCATGGTAAGGGAGGGGAGCACAGCTGGTCACTAACAGCCAGGAAATACACTATGAAGAAAAAGAAAACAAACGTGACCATCACTAGCTTTCTTCCTGCTAGGAAGCCCTCCTTAACTGGCCACCAAGGATCTAGAGATCTGTCCACCTCTCCATAGTCTCATCCAGGGCAGGACGTAGTCACAGTGTACTGTTGATTTGACCAAGGCTCCAAATGGCTCAGGAGCCCCAGTAAATCACTACTTTATTTTTGATTCCTGGGATCCACCAATAGTCACTTGAGGAGTGGTTTGACATAAGGATGTCACCTGGGTGCTTACTGTACTAGGCTACTGTCTTCATTTCCAATGCCTACCCTTCCCCATCATCCTCAGCTCTCAGGACCTGAAATTCAGAGTTCTCTAGAGTAGAAGCCATAACTTTTTCAATATTTCTTCTTGAAACTTCCTGAGAGTGGGGAATGAGTTCCCTTGGGCCCTCACCAAAATCAGGTTAAGGTACTTAACAAACATCAGGTCTGACTCCTCATCAGGTTTGTGGTTTCCCTTGAGGATCGGGGCCTTCTGCAGGACAGACTATGACATCCCTGAGGATGTGCGGTCCGGGTCACCAAGCCTCTCTTCCTCCTCCTCCTCCTCAACAGAGAGCTCAACTGTGTCTCTCTAATCAGATGTAGAGTATCCTAGAATGAGAAACCCTCTGTTTTCTCTAGACCAGTGGTTCTCAGCTGGGGAGTGATTTTTGCCTCCGTTGAGACATTTAGTAAAATCTAGAGACATTTGTGCTCGTTACCAGTGTGTCAGGGGCAGGGTTTGCTACTGGCTTCTAGTGTGCAGAGGCCAGGGGTGAAATACCCTACAATGCATGGGACAGTTCCCTACCACCAAGGATTACTGCCTCCAAACGTCAACAGTGCTGAGGCTGAAAACCTGCTCTGGATCTCTATACAGTGGTAGGGCAGGAGAAGACTTACAAAATTTCTTGAAAGAGCCTGGAAAAAGACTTAATTTCCATTCTGGCCTCCTCACAGAAGAGACACCTCCAAAAGAAGTGCACATCACAGTGAGGGGAGGGGTACTAGGCATGCTTCTCTCTCAGTTCAGCAACAACTTACTGAAGCAGAGCACACAGAAACAACCATGACTTGTCTGGCAACACACATACTGGGCTCTGTGTTGAGGAGGAAGCAGAAAGAAAGGTATGGTGACCCAAACCAGGCAGGGATAAGGTGGAGATATTTATAGCCTTATTTATAACAAAACACAAAAACCAAAAGCGAGTATCTTTTTTGCTGGAATCAGCCTACACTACTGGGCTCCTTAAACCTTTATATTTCCTTACCACTGGAATCCACCAATGGGTTCTGCAAACCTATGCCGGATCAGGAAAGTGGCAACAGCTTCAGCTACCTGGAGAAGGGAGAGAAATTCCAGGCCACATGAGGATTAGCAATGAATTTCAGACCCAGAGGACCTGTTGGCTTCTGCTGGAAGATTTACTACCCTAGGGGACTCATGAGTCCCATAGGTTTGGGAAGTTTGAAATTAAAAGGACTGTATCCTCGTAGGGCATCCCTGGCAAGGATGTCTCCAAAGAATCCAAAAGGGATGATGTGAAGGGCTCATTTATCCCCTTAGAGTTACAAGGCAACCCCCTTCTGGAGGAGGAACCCATATTAATTCCTAACCGTGGCTGTAGTTTAGGGAGTAGTTTCTACCCCTTATTTCATGTGACTTTTGGGGAAATGGAGAAGTAAAGCTTAAATTTGTAACCATAGGGCCTAAGAATTAAATAGTAGGGTGCCGTCTACGGCCATACCACCATGAACGCGCCCGATCTCGTCTAAATAGTAGGGTGCCAATAATTCCTTATTATATACACAACAGTCAAGGCAGCTGGGCCTCCCTGGTGGCGCAGGCGGTTGAGCGCAGCACTGTGAAGCTGTCCGCAGCCTCTGCAGCGCAGGTTCGATCCTGGCCGGCTGGCGAGAATCCCACATGGTGAAGCAGACCTCTCCTGTCTCTCCCACTGCTCCCCTCAGCAGTGTATTTCGTCAGTCTGCCTGTTCTGTTCCCCGCTCTGTCTCTGGTGATCCTCTCACCCTCCCGCGCATCTGGCCTCTACCCCGGTTCTTGTGTGCATGAATAAATAAATCTTTAAAAAAAAAAAAAAAGACCATAGGCAGCTGCCAGGGAGAGGTTTGGGGAGCTGGAGTCCCACAGGCACTGCGGAGGCTGACAGCTGCTGTTGCAGGTAATGCAGGCTAACTCAGAGGCTTGCTCTAGCTTCTGTGAGATCCCAAGTTACCCTCACAGTTTTCCTTTTCAGTCATCAAGCACCACACTCACCTTGTCTGGGGCATCTTCATGAACTGCATGACCACACTGGGGTAGGACTTGCATCTGGAACTTGCCTGGAGAGGAAAAAAACTCAGGCAACCTCAGGGACTAAACAGTCCTCTTCTTACCAACTCTACAGCTTCACAGGTCACCCTAGGAAAACCTCCCCATACCCCTTTCCTCGCCCCACTGAATCCGCAACCCAATTATTAAGCTTTTGAGGAGGATGGTAATACTAATTATAACTTTGGGCAAATAATTTTTTCTTCTACAATAGTATTTCATATGTGTGTACTTTGGGCCAGATACAAAGGAATAAACAAAGGAGATTTATAATCTAATGAAGAAGCAAAACACAAAACTCAACATATTAATACAGTATGTAGAGTTTGATGTTAAGACTGAACATATGAGAAGAGCATAGGAAAGGCGAATTCACCATCTAATAGGGACCAAGCAAGGCTTTCCTGAATAGAAAAAAAAACAGCCTACACAAAGAAAGGGAGATGAAATTTGTATTTGGTCCTGAAATATGAAATTTGGCATGGCACTTGTGAGAGTGATTAACAATGAGGCTACAGGGGCCTCCGCTGGTGGCGCAGCAGTTGAACGCTGGACTGCCAAGCTGCCTGAGCCTCTGCAGCACCAGTTCGATCCACAGCCGCCGGTGAGGGTCCCACATGGCACACAGACCTCTCCTGCCACGCCTGCTGCTCCCCTCAGCAGCATATTTCGTCGGTTTGCCTGTTTTGTTCCCCGCTCTGGCTCTGGTGAATTCTCTCACCCTCCTGTGCTTCTGACTGTACCCAGTGCATGTATAAATAAATAAATAAATCATAAAATAAAATAAAATAAAAAAATAAAATAAAATAAACAATGAGGCTACAGAGGTAAGCAGGGACCATACCAGAAGGATTTGGTAAGCTATGTTAAGGATTTGAAATTTATTACTACAATAATAAATTACCTTCTGAGTGCTTAACAATCATACTAAACACTTCTTACACTGTCTCACAGAACACTGTAAGCTCACAACTAATCCAACAGCTATTAAGAGTGAACGGAAATGACTGGTAAAACCAAGTCCCTAAGCAGAATAAACGATAGGGGACCAGAATTCCTGCAAGTGTAGAGAGAGCAAACTCACAGTGTCTTGGTTTCTCCATTTACAGGAAGGGAATAAGTGCTAAAAGTCCTCTGGTCATTCCATCTATGATTCTCACTCCAGTTATACAGTGCTTTAAAAAGTTTTCAAAACACTCTCCTATCCATAGTTTCTAAGTTGATTCTCACATCTTACTGTATAAATTTAAGCAGCATAAATACTGAAATCCTTTTCCGAGATGATGAAACTGAGGCCATGATTAGTGATTTCTCTAGATTGTTTCATTAGTAAAGGAACTAAGACCACTTCATTCAGTATAACATTCTGCGTATTAATATATTAATACCCCTGCACTTGCAGTAAGCTACACCGTGATGTTCTAGCCTAGTCCCCTCTCCCTTCCTTCTCCTAATGTACTACTGTTAATGCATTTGGATCCAAATACAAAGCAGTTTGTGTCCTCGTTTGCAAGCTTATGTAGTATATACCACTGGTGCTTGCCTGCCAGGAGTGTGTGTTACATATCACTGGTGCTCTCCTTAGAACAGGGCTGGTAACACCATTTGCACAATATCCCTAATAGGGTCCAGCACAGGGCTAGAGACTGAATAAGTTCTTAGCAAGTCATAGGTTAATGAATGATTAGCTGAGTGACCAGATCCAAGACTTGTAACTTTACCCCTATTGGTGTTTCTATTAGAGCAGGTTCTGAATACTAGGGATGCATTTTCATTCAGCTCTGGAAGAGTGGGTAGAAGGAATCAGGGAGAATTCTCATATATTAACTACTGTGTCCATCGACTTTGCCTTCACTAAGCCTTTCATCAATACTAAAACAAGAGCCTCCACTGTTATCTAAGCAACACACTTGTGCCTGAGCTCAACAGGTCACTTTCCTACTCATTATACCTTATAATCCTTGTGAGACTGACATTCTCACTTTAACGCTGTGAAAAGAAAAGCTAAGAGAGGTCAAGTAACTTGCCCAGGGTCAAAAAACTAGTAGGACATAGCTATCTCAAACTTAGTGCTCCCACCCTCAGAGCCCTTAAACTTCCTCTTCAAACTCAATGCTCCCACCCTCAGAGCCCTAAAACTACCTCACCACACTCTCATCTAAATGGAATGTACAGCTTTTTATATTGGGGTTATCTTTGACTCCTTTCCTAAAAATTCTAATAATAATGAAAATTTTGATCAGTTTTAGAATGTCTCCTTTCATGTTATGATATATGCCTAGCCTACAGTTTATAAATGCCCTTTTCAAAGATATTGTCTCATTTGAGTTCTTACAACTTTGAGACATAGAAGGTATTATAATTTCCATTTGAAAATGGGGGTGAAGGAAACTGAAACTCAGAAAAGGGAAGTATCTGCCGTAATCACACACTGGTCAGAAGTAGAGGTGGATGTCAAAGATGGGTCTGATTCTAAAGCTCCTGTTTTCTCCACTGCACATCATCGGATCAGGATATTCATTTCCAGGACTCTACCCCTTTCTCTGTCTATAGAGAAGGATACAAGGACATTATTTCTTGATGACTTACCTTGCATTTGACCAATAGTCAGATCTTTATCCAATCTATCAACACCTAGAACAAAACAAGAGAACCCAAAAGTTAGTAGAAAAGGCCATATAAAGAGGTTTTGCTATTTAGGTATGAAGTAAATTGTTATGAAGTTGGAAACACGATGACATTCCCAATTCATGTTAAAGCCTATTCTAACTCCCTGAGGGTATATTCTCACCACATGAAGCTTTCAAGGCTGAAGTTCCCCCGCAATCTCTTTGCTCAGTTAAACTGATTTCTGTATTTTACTGTACTGGTTTATTGGGTTTTAACTTTTTGATTTTCATTATACTTAGAATATCCTTACACTACACTAGGAGGACTTGGGCTTGAGCAGGCAGAGGCAGGTGAGAAATAAGCTACCCCCCCAACCCCCCATCGCTTCTTGGCCTTTTGGCTAAGATCAAGTGTAGAATTAAGCTACCCCAAGTGGATGATTGTGCTCAGTTAGGTTTAGGGACTTGGTATACAAGGGGAGATGGGGCACAGATGAGTAAGGACAGAACTTCACTTTTGATGTCATTTGGTGAGTAGTTTTATGACAAAACACCTATGGAACTGTGTCGCTCCCAAACTCCTATTTGAGGTGCTAATCCACAGTGTGACCATATTTTGAGATATATATAGAAGCAATTAAGGTTAAATGAGGAATTAAGGTTAAATGAGGCCACATGACAGGTTTGTGTCCTTAGAAGAAGAAACACAGAGCTCATTCTTGTGCTCTCTACACCACATAAGGACATAGTGCTGTATGAGAGGAAACAATATCTCTGCAAGCTAGTAGGAAAGTTCTCAACAGAACTTAACCATACTTATACCCTGATCTCATACTTCCAGCCTCCAGAACTGTGAGGAATTAAATTTGTTTAAGCCACCCAGTTCATGGTATTTTGTTATGGTGGCCCAGGCTAACACAGACACACACACACTTACCAGCCAAGAGCAGCAATTTAGGAATAGGACAACTAAGAAAGAGATTGGATAAGCCTCGGAACCAGCCATCCCAGTATTTTTCTGTTTTTGCCAGTTTCTCCAAGTGTATGGATGGTCTTTCTTGGTCTGAAAGAATAAGAGCAAGTTCTGAGTTTCTGAGGGCAATCCCTGGAGGAATAGAGTAAGAACTATGTTCCTGGGAAAAGCAAAGGGAAGGAAACTCACACTTATTAAGGGCCTACTCTGTCCCAGACATTTTAATTCACATTTAATCCTTATAACAGTGTTATGATATATGTTATTGTTGCAATATGCATTTTCAAATAATTATAATTTTACTTTTTACTTCTATTAGGTTCAGTGAACTCAGGAAACTTTTTTAAGGTTATAAAGCTAATAAATGGTGCAGCCAAAATTGAGCTTCTTTTACATCTATCTGGCAAAAAGGACACACCATCCAAAGAATAATTACCAAAAAACACATTGCTATCTAAAAAAATGCTTATGATACAATATTAAATGAAAGAAGCAGAGTATACTGTGATTTCAGTTGGGAGCACTACTGGAAAAACGTGATATACTTTGGGAAAGAACTGCAAGTGAAAACAAAAAATAGGTTGATTTATTGGTACAGCATTTTTCCTTGTATTTTGATTTATGATGATATAACCTTTCTGCAAACATAATTTGAGAAGAAAATACAACAAAATATCAACATCTGTTAAATATCAATAGTTACAAAGTAGATGGGCATAGATTATGCACTCAGCAAATACAAGCTGAACAAATAAGTGATTCTCTGTACTTTTCCACATCATATTTATATTAAATATTATAACTGAGATACATAATTAGGCTACTATAATATTCATCTTCGATATGAAAATCTATAAGTGAACACAAGATAGCAACATATAGTGCTAAAAATCACTGATGGCTAAGATGTTCATTCCACTCAAAATGATCAGCAGATTCAATGCAATGCCAATTAAAACTCCATAAAGTTTTTTTTGCAAAAATAAAAAATTGTCATCCTAAATTTTATATGAAATATCAAGGAACCCTGAATAGTGAAAACAATTTTGGGGGAAAGAATCAGAGGGTTTTATTTTTAAAGATTTATTTATTTATACAAGAACGGGGTACAGGCCAGATGTGTGGGAGGGTGAGAGATTCAACAGACAGAGTGGGGAGCAGAACAGGCAGATGGACCAAAAATACTGCTGAGGGGAGCAACGGGTGGGACAGGAGAGGTCTGCTGCACCATGTGGGTGGCTCCCTGGACGACCGGGAATTGAAGCAGCACTGCAGAGGCTGCAGACAGCTTCACAGCGCTGTGCTCAACCCGCTGAGCCACTCGGGGTGGGGGGGGGGGGGCAAATTAGAGGGTTTATATTTTCTGATTTAAATACATTACAAAGCCACAGTAATCAAAACAGCACAGTACTGGCAAAGACAGAAAAACAAACCAATGGAATAAATTAGAGAGCTCAGAAAGAAACCCTCACATATATGGTCAAATGGTCTTTGACAAGGGTGCCTGGACTACTCAATGGGGAAAGGGTAGTCTTTTTCAACAAATGGTGTCTGGAAAACTGGGTAACTATCTGTAAAAGTCTGAAGTTGGACCATATTCCAAAACTGGATTAAAGACCTAAATTTAACACCTAAAACTATTAAACTTCTAGATGAAAATATAGGGGAAAACTTCATGAAGCTCCTTATGACATTGGACTTGGCAATGATCTCTTGGATGTGATACTAAAAACAGAGTCATTGAAAGCAAAAACAGACAAATTTTAAAACTTAAAAACTTAAAAGCATTTTGCATCAAAGAGCACAATCAACAGAGTGAAAAGGCATCCTATAAAAAGGGAGAAAAATATTTGCATATGATACATCTGATAAGGGGTTAATATCTGGAATCTATAAGGAATTCCTACAGCCCAACAACAAAAAATCAAATAACCTAATTAAAAAATGGGCAAAGGACTTGAGCAAAGATGACACACAAATGGCCAATAAGTACAAGCATTAAAAGATGCTTAACATCACTAATCATTAAAAAAGACAAATCGGGGTCTCCCTAGAGGCGCTAGGTGTTAAGATACAACCTATGTATTGGAACCAGAACAGACACACAGACCAATGGAATCAAATAGAAAATCCAGAAATAAACCCACAGATTTATGGTCAACTAATCTTTGACAAAGGAGCAAAGACTATGCATTGGAGCAAAGAAAGTTTGTTCAACAAATGGTGCTGGGAAAACTGGGTCGCTACATGCAAAAGAATGAAGCTTGACCACCACCTCACACCATACACAAAAATCAACTCAAAATGGATTAAAGAACTAGACATAAGACCTGAAACCATAAAATAAATAGAAGGAAATATAGGCGAAACACTACGTGATATGCACATCAAAGACATCTTTACAGACACATCACCCAAAGAAGTGATAGTGAAGGCAAAGATAAACAGCTGGGACTACATCAAATGAAAGAGCTTCTGCACAGCAAAAGAGACAATAACAAAAACAAAGAGAAACCCCACCGACTGGGAGAACATTTTTGCACACAACACTAATGATAAAGGACTGATCACAAAAATATGCAAAGAGCTGATGAGACTCAGCACAAACAAAGAAAATAATCCAGCCAAAAAATGGGCAGAAGAGCTAAAAAGAAACTTCTCTGAAGAGGAAATGCAAATGGCCAACAGGCATATGAAAAAATGTTCAACATCACTTGCCATCAGGGAAATGCAAATCAAAACTACCATGAGATACCATCTTACACCAGTGAGAATGGCACATATTAAAAAAACTAGCAACAACAAATGTTGGCGAGGGTGTGGAGAAAAAGGAACTCTTCTGCACTGTTGGTGGGAGTGCAAACTGGTCCAACCACTATGGAGAGCTGTGTGGAGATTTCTGGACCTACTAGACATAGAGCTTCAATATGATCCAGCAATTTCACTCCTAGGTATATACCCAAAGGACACAGAAACATCAATTCCAAAGAACACCTGCACCCCTATGTTTATAGCAGCACTGTTTACAATAGCTAAGCTTTGGAAACAACTCAAATGCCCAAAAACAGATGACTGGATCAAGAAAATGTGGTCCATGGTACACCATGGAATATTACTCAGCATTCAAAAAAGATAAACACATGCAATTTGCAGCAACATGGATGACGCTAGAAGGGATCATGCTCAGCGAAATAAGCCAGAAAGAAAAAGAAAAATACCGGATGGTCTCACTCATAGCAGAAATCTAGAAAACTTAAATAAGGGACCAGGAAAAAGAATAACTATAAGAAAGAAAATATCAAAATCAACAAACAACTATGAACAAGAGACACTCTATGGGGGTGGGGGGTGGGGAGGGGAGGGATTGGGGTCAAAATAAGGGGATTGCAATTGTATGGGGAATATAAAAATAAAATTTATTTAAAAAAAAATATACAACCTATGAAGCTAACCGCAACCACTGCAAGCACAAGTTCGATCCCCAGCCAGGGAGCAACCCACATGGGACAGCAGACCTCTCCTGACTCACCTGCTACTCCTCTCAGCAGTGTATTTCAGTCAATTTACCTGTTCTGTTCCCCACTCTGTCTCTGGTGAATCCTCTCACCCCCTCACCACATCCCCACCCCGGCACCTCTGGCCTGCACCCCAGCTCTTGTATGCACAAAAATAAAAAATAAATCTTAAAAAAAAAAGACAAATCGAAACCACAATAAGATATCACTCCACACCCATTAAGATAGCTACTATCAAAAAAAGGACAAAATAACACATTAGATAGGATGTAGAGAAACTGGAACCCTGTATACTGTTGATGGAGTTATAAAATGGTACAACTGCTATGGAAAAGTTATTTAAATGTTAAAAAGAGAACTACTTTATGATCCAGCAATCTTACTTCTTGATATTAAGATAAAAGAAGTCAGAAGACGGTGTTGAAGAGCTATCACTGATTCACTATTCACAATAATCAAGAGGTGGAAGCAATCTAAATGTTCAGTGAGTATTGTTTAACCTTAAAAAAGAATCCTGTCATATGCTACAACAGGGGTGAAACTTTAAGATATTATGCTAAGTGAAGTAAGTGAATCACAAAAAGATAAAAACTGTAATTTCCATTTATATGAGGAATCTAACAATGAAATTCACAGTAATGTAAAGTAAAATGGTGGTTATAAGAAGCTGCAGGGAGTAAGGGGAAAGGGAGTTATTGTTTAATGGGTATACAGATCTGCAAGATAAAAAAGTTCTGGAGATCTGTTTCACAAGATATTAATATACTTAACAATACTGAACTTAGAAATAGTTAAGAGGATAAATTTTATGTTATATGCTTTTTACCACTATTACTATTAAGAAAAAGATCACTGAATGGGGAGTAAGGAAACTTGGGTCTTCCAGTTCTCACTAAACAAGTCATATGTTACTTTAAAGTGAACACTAATTGTTATTTCAACTTGGAACCTAAGCCTGTCCCATTATCCGCAAAACTTTCTATTTATAATCATTTCTAAGAGATCAGTTCCACAATCAGAGATAGCATACTTATAATCCCCTCCATTCAGTATATCCATACTGAACTTCATATACAGATGATGCTCCAAGGATAGCATTATAAAAGTAATTTTTAAAAAAGGAGTTCATCTCAAGTCCTATAAATTATAAAAAGAAAAACTCTGGATAGAGTTAAAGTTTTTCTTGTATTTAGGGTATTGAAAATAAATCCTTTTGCTAAAGAGTTGGATAATAAAAGTAGTTTAGTTTAGATGTCTTCTGCTGACAAATGGTAATAAAACAGATAGATGCAGTGAGATCTAGTTGTTGGATAGAAGTAGAATGCTGGTTACCCATTTTCCTCAATGTTCACCTAGGCAGGACACAGTTTTTCACACAATAACATCTATCACAGGCCTTCCATTATTTCCCGAAGCCTCACTTGAAAAGTATTTAAACACAGGTTTTAAATACAGAGTTTCCTTAAAATATTAAAAATAGATCTACCAGATGATCCAGGAATTCCACTTCTAGGTATCTTCCCAAAGAATTCAAAACACTAATGTGAAGGGATATATGCATTCTTTAAAAAAAAATTATTTATTTATGCATACAAGAACTGGGGTATAGGCCAGAGGTATGGAGTGGGATGTGTGTGAGAGGATTCACTAGTGACAGAGTGGGAAACAGAACAGGCAGACTGACTGAAATACACTGCTGAGGGGAGCAGCAGGTAAAATAGGAAGAGGTCTGCCTTGCCATGTGGGTAGCTCCCTGGCCGGCCAGGGATCGAACTCGTGCTGCAGTGGCTAAGGATAGCTTCACAGTGCTGTGCTTAACTCCTTGCACCACCAGGGAGGCCCGACATATGCATTCTTGTGTCATTGCAGCACTATTTACCACAGTGAAGTTAAGGAAAAAACCTAAGTGCCCAAGGACAGATGAATGGATTAAGAAGATATATTTACACCATGGAATACTACTCAGCTATAAAAATAAAGATTAATTGTTGCCATTGTGACAAACGGATACAACTCAAGGGGATTATACTAAGTGACATAAATGAGAAGGAGAAAGACAAATACCAGACAATATCACTGATGTGGAATATAAAGAAACAAAACAAAGAAACAGACAAAACCAAATCAAAACAAACCCTAAAAATCTGACTGCAGTAAGGTAGGGAACAAAATGTGCAAGGGGCCCAGTGAACAATGGTGGAGGGTTATGGGTGCTTTGGTGTTGGCAGTGGTATGATAACATAAATCAGAAGAGGTATGAATCATACACAGCATTGTAAACCACTGTTCTCTCAATAAAAAAAATTTTTACTAAAAAAACAAGGTTTTGGGCCTCCCCGGTGGTGCAGTGGTTGAGCGCTGGGTTGCAAAGCTGCCTGCAGCCTCTGCAGCGCTGGTTCGATCCCCGGCTGCTCCCCGGACACCAGAGGAGGGTCCCACATGGAGCGCAGACCTCTCCTGCCGCCCGCTGCTCCCCTCAGCAGTGTACTTTGGTCCTTCTGCCTGCTCTGCTCCCCGCTCTGGCTCTGGTGAATTCTCTCACCCTCCCGCGCTTCTGACTGTACCCCAGTGCTTTTATAAATAAATAAATAAATAAAAACCAAAAACCAAAAAAAAACCACAAGGTTTTATGTCAGTCAGTCAAACCTGACTGAACGTAAATCCCAGCTCCATCATTAAGTAATAAACCAGTAACAAAAGACCCATATTTTAAGACTCCACTTATATTAATTGTTCTGATTAGGCAAATCTATAGACAGAAAGTAGATTTGTAATTGCCTAGGGTTGGAGAGAACAGGAAGTGACCGCAAGTTTTCATTTAAAAGTGATGAAAATATTCTACAGTTAGACTATTATAACAGTTGCACAATTCTGTGACTATATTGTGTATACTTTGGGTAAATTATCTTTCAATAAAGCAATTTAAAAAGAGAGATTTATGTGTAAATAAATATCTTCTGCATATCTGAACTTCAATCCTTTAAGGACCAAAATTTAAATGTTTTCTCTTTCCTTTCTGTATTTTGCATCAGATTCTAGCCCCCTCTCCCCAAATATAAATCTTGTCATCTTTTACAGAGCTGAATGGATGCAACTGATTTCTTATTTGTCTCATCATTTCAAACACCACTTTTTACATTGTGCTGTAACAGAATGCCCCTTAGGGCTAATGGACTTAAAGTGGCTCCTGGCTACCAATGCTTTAAAAGCTGTGATTATTTTTTTTTTAATATTTATTTATTTATTCATACAAGAACTGCGGGTAAGCCAGAGGTGCGGGGGGAGGTGGGGTCGGTGAGGATTCACTAGAGAAAGTGGGGAACAGAACAGGCAGATCTACTAAAATGCTAAGGGGAGCAGCGGGCAAGGCAGGAGAGGACTGCTGCACTATGTGGGTTGCTCCCTGGCTGGCCTAGGATCAAACTCATGCTGTAGTGGCTGGCAATAGCTTGATAGTGCTGTCTTTAACCCTTGCGCCACCAGGGAGGCCCTGTGGTTATATTTTTTTGGCTAGGTTTTGTTAAACTTCATTATTAACATTTTCCTCATCATCTTATTTACTTCTCTTTATTGAGATATAATTGACATTATAATTTTTATACATTTAAGATGTAGACACAATTATAAGATCTAGTCTCCCCAGTTCTTCGGTGCATTAGATCTCTAGGACTTACTTCTCTACTAGTTGCAAGAAGTTTTGACTTTTTTTTTTTTTTTTTTTAAGTTTCTTTGTGTCTTTCCTCAAGTGTAGATGCTTTAACTACATTTCTTATTGCTTGATGTGCCTCATTTTATCTTCCAACAAAATTGTTAGAATTTATAAAACTATATAATTGGGCTTATTAAAAACTACAAAGAAAAAAGTGAGTTGGAGCTAAAAGTTTGGGTGTGTTTTCCAGCAATATTTATATGTGATCACAGGTAAATATTGCAACCTAGGTTGTAAAACATGATGTCTACAGTGCAGAACTAAAATGAGAACTAAAGATGATAAAATTGGGACTAGAAGCACCCAATCTAGTCCTTAACACATAAAAGGTAAAAAGTAATTGAGAATTTGTATTAGAGTCTCAAATCTAGAAATATTACTTTACTGCTTTAGGTAAGTTTCTTCATCCCTGAGTCTTAGTTTCTCTACTGTTAACACAGTAGAAAACATCTCTCTTTATCTCACAGAATGCTGGGAAGACAAATAGATTATCTTATCATGGTTTTGAAAACTCCAAAGAGGTACAAAGTATCATTCACTGACCTTAAAGACGACAAGAAGATCTCATTAAATTATAAATACTGTTTTTAAAAAATGTATTTTCTTCCTTACAAAAATTAGCATCTCAAATGTAAAGAAATACATGATGTACATTGTCTCTACTACCTGCCATTAGTGAGATCTTTATAATTCACCCTAAAAAGTCTGCTACTAACACTCACTGATCATTTCCAAGAAAAAAAGGACCCCTTCCCACTACTATACTCAAATCAATTGCTCACAGCTAGTACTCACATTTACTAAGCACACAGCCCTGAACAAAAAGCTAAGGGAAGTTCATGGAGAACATCAATTTCTCCCATCAAAACAGAGGTTATTTTTATTTGGAAAACAGATTAATGGTGGACAAAAGGGACAATGGTGCCACCTCTTCCCACCCACCTTGCCCACAGGGAACCATTCCCATTCCATCCTTTCAAGAATGCCAGCCATCACCCACCTCCATGTCATCTTCCTTTTTCCTCTTGTTCACTGACTCGCTTCCCTCTTCATCTTCTTCCTCTTCCTCTATGATTCCTTCCACTATAGATTTTGAGCCTTCAGGACTTGTAATTCCTTCACACCTAGATTAAAAAAATGGTTATCACATACTTCCACACACAAATTATCTCAGAGATTATAACACTTATGGTCTTTTAATAATCAAATGTTAATTAAACTTAACAATGCTCCTAGGATGAGGATGTGAAAGATGTGCACTTTAAAATGTACAAAATTAGACACCAAAGCTGTGGAAGGTCATGACCAATGTATTTAAAAGTTGGTTTCTAGTTCTCACACCAATGCTGACCCAGAGAAGGAGTAACCATTTCCTGAGATATGGTAACAAGAATGTTACTGGCATTATTTAACATAACCTCATAACAATTCAATGAAGAGCTAAAGAAATTGCCCAGGATCACCTAATGCATGAGTGGATGAGACTGGTAAGCCAATCCAGGTTCAATTAACTCCAAAGCTCTTATTACTCTACTATTTACAATACCAAATAGAAAAAGAGTAAAAGGCCCCCACTTTTAAATCTGATCCAACCAATTATTGTTGTTTTCCACTAAAAAATGTTATCTTTGGGACCTCCCTGGTGGCACAAGGGGTTAAGACGCAACCTATGAAGCAATCCACAGCCACTGAAGCACGAGTTCAATCCCCAGCCAGGGAGCTACACACATGGCGCAAAAGACCTCTCCAGACTCACCAGCTGCTCCCCTTAGCAGTGTATTTCATTAGATCTGCTTGTTCTGCTTCCCACTTTGTCTCTGGTGAATCCTCTCACCCCCGCACCTCTGGCCTGTACCCCAGCTCTGTATGCATAAATTAATAAATCTTTGAAAAAATGTTATCTTTATTATGTAATTTGATTGAAAATTATTGTTATACAAACAGATGGTACTGTATTCCTTTTAAAACTCACTGCAAAAAATACATATATGAGGGTGTCAAAGGCAAAAATCTAAAAGCTGGGTTGCAGCTAATGCTACCCAGGTTAGCTCTGCACAATAGAAAATAATGTTATTTTGCTCTTGAAAGGAAGAGTGAAGAGAAAAAGAGGAAAGCGAACTAGATAAAGAGACTGGGATAAACTGACGAGTGGCCAACAGTGGATTTTAATGAGTCTACCAAATTTCTATTATGGCAACAATTAGGTCAAAGTAGTACCACAAAGAAACAACATGTGCTTTGGATTTCTACAATTTTGGATAGGGAGGTTCAAGAGAATTTCACCTAGATCAAGAAGGATAGGGAGGTTCTAGCTGATATCTATGTGTATCTACATACACAGGTTTACATATAATGAGAAAATACCACTTGAAGCAAGAAATTTAAATCACTGAACTACCTGTTTGTAAGTTGTATAACTTCCTAAAATATGTTGTACTACTGCTTAGGTCTCAAAATATTTAGGATTGAAAAGCAGGCAGTTTCATCTTAGTCAGAGCCTCTATACTGTGTCTATGATACTACCAAGTTTCAATAATAAAAGCTCTAACAAAAAAGGTGAAGGACCTGTACAAGGAAATTTATACAACACTGTTCAAAAACAAGAAATAGAAGAAAACAGAAAGATATAGAAATTCCCTGTTCATGGATTGGAAGAAACAACATTGTCAAAATGGCCATCCTATCCAAAGCAATTTACAGATTAAATACAATCTCAATAAAAATCTCAAAGGCATTTTTCAAAGAAATGGAACAAATATTACTGAAATTCACATGGAGCCACAAAAGACCCCAAACAATGAAAGCTCTCCTGACTTAAAAGGGACAAAATGGTGGTATTACACTTCCAGACTTCAAACTATACTACAAAGCCTTCTAATTAAAACATACACACAGACCCACAGAATAGAATTGAGAGCCTAGAAATAAAACCACACATTTATGGACAACTAATCTATGACAAAGGAACAAAAAATATACATTAGAACAAGGGAAGCCTCTTCAACAAATGGTATTGGGAAAATTGAATTGCCACATGCAAAAGAATGAAACTAGACTCCTATTTCACCCCATACACAAAAATAACTCAAAATGGATAAAAGACTTGTATATAAGACCTAAAACTATAAAATACATAGAAGAAAACATAGGTAAAACATTCTGTGACATAAACTTCAGAACTGTCTTTATGGATTCAACTCCAGAGGCAAGGAAAACATATGTGAATGTAAAAATTGGGACTACATAAAACTAAAATGCTTCTATACAGCAAAAGAGGGAGTAACAAAAATGAAGAGACATCCTACGAAACAGAAGAAAATATTTGAACAACATACAACTGACAAGGGACTAATATCAAAGATCTTCAAAGAGCTCATACAACTCAACAAAAAGAAAACAATTTAATCAAAAAGATAGGCAGAAAAGCTAAACAGGTACTTCTCCAAAGAAGACATGAAAATGGCCTACAGGCACATGAAAAAAATGTTCATCATCACTTATCATCTGGGAAATGAAAGTCAAAATCACGAGATACCACCTCATACCGGTGAGAATGGCCCATACCAAAAACAAAAAACAAACAAAAAAACCAGAACCCTTTTACACTGTTGGTGGGAATGTAGACTGCTCCAGCCATATTATGGAAAGCTGTGTAGAGGTTCCTCAAAAGACTAAAACTGGATCTGCCATACGACCCAGCAATTCCACCCCTATCTATCTACCCAAAGAGCACAAAAACACTAATTCAAAAGGAAACCTGCACTCCTATGTTTATCATAGCACTATTTATAATAGCCAAGATATGGAAGCAACCTAAACGCTCCAAAACAGATGAGTGGATCAAGAAGATATGGTATATATACACAATGGGATACTACTCAACAATCAAAGTCATACCCCAGCTCCAATCCCTTCTTTTCATCTCTCCCCAGTCAATCCATAAGGCAGTGCTGTCTGTTCTAACTTCAAATACATTCCAAAAATCACCATATCACTTCCTCTGTTACCAGTCTAGTCTATGCTTACCTTCAGTACTCAGTAAGAACAAGATAAACTCATGCCATTTGAGACAACATAGATGGAGCTGGAAGGAATTGTGCTAAGCTAAATAAGACACCTGTATGTGGAATACAGAAAAACCAAACAAATGTTTAGACAAAGACAAATTTTAAAACTAACCTTGAAGGCTAACCTATAGATCTGAGGCATCTAGGAGGGGAAAAGAAGGAGGAGTGAGAACAGGGCTGGGGGAAAACATAATGGACTGAAATGTGGAAGACTATGGGTGGTTTGGTGGTGGGAAAGCTACTGTGATCACACCTGTGGGGAGAAATCCTATACTGTCAAAAAGTTAACGAGTATGTAAAACAATGGCGCTTCATTAAAAATGTTTATATGTGTGTGTGTGTGTGTGTGTGTATATATATATATTATATATGTTATATTATGTTATATATGGCATATTATATATGCCATTTTAATATACAAATTATCTAATATATATTATATTAATATATAAATATATATATATAAAAAATTATCTAAAACAACGAAGTCATTTACCAGGATGGTAAACTACAGATATATGACAAAAAAGCAATCTGTAATTCTCCTCATCGGTTTCGGTCTATAACCAGTTCAAAGACGAAAGAGTAAGAGACCTACTGTTTGACTTGACCAACCATCGAGACACGGGCAGACTCCAGGTTTCGAATCTGGCCACTCTTCACACTAAAAAGTGAGAAGGGAGAAAGGTTATTCAACATCCATTTGATCAAATCACTAAAGTCAAATGAGTAATTCTGCAGGCTCACTGGGACCTACTAAAAGCTGGGGTCACCAGTGTAGCTTACTATGGAGATTGCCACTACTTCCTACTTAGTTATTATGGCAATATGTTAAATAGTACAAATTAAGTCGAGACATTGAAGTTATTTTTCAGTTCTGCAAATATTTACCAAAATAAGACTATGCTTGTGCTCAGGAAGCACATAATTCAGTAGGGAAAAGGAAACACAAACATAATGAGGCAAGGTTCAAGGGAATCACTTTATTTGGAATAAGGAGGCTGGAGAAAGCTTCCCAAACATCCTGCCTACACTGAAGACTGAAGATAAGAAGCTAAGCAGAGGATAAAAAAGGGTGATCAGAGCATTATAGACAGAAGGCACAGAACACTATGATGTGAAACAGTTAGCAGGATGATTATTTTAGAGGACAAAGTGCAAAGAGAAGCAGGAGAGAACAAAGGGGGAGTGGGACAGACTACAACAAGCAGGCAGGAGCTAGTTCCTGGTGGGCTATGCATGCTCTGGTTTGGAGGTGAGGCACTTGGACTCTATTTTCACAAATTAGTCTTCTCACAGTTTTCTCCCTAAGTATACGTAAGGGCCAAAGAAAATGACTTATGCCCCAGGGGGAACTGGAAACACCACCTGAAGCAATACCCATTTCCATAAATCTTATTTTTTAGCTTAAAAAAAACATCATGTAAAAACTTAAAGTATATCCCCCCTTAGAAAATTTATGATCTTGTCTTATTTTAATGATAAACAGAAACCACCAGAATTATGACTTCATCATTCTACCAATGAACCAATCTATAGAACCATAAGTCACCAATATTTGTAATCATATACTCTATCTTGATGACTTTAATAAATGAAGTGTATCTTTATTTCTATTCAGGTCAACCTTGGGTACTGGTCCCCATTCCCTCTTGCTTATGCACATGCCCCTAATAAAGCCTTGTCTGGTTCACCCAAAACTCTCTGGTGAATTCTTTCTGCATATTTTTTGGAGGGTAGGTCTGTAACACTGATACTGATACTTACTTATGACACTATTTTTGTATCCAACAAAACCAGGGCCTAACACTTTTCTCTGATGGGCTAAACATTATGTGCAGGCAGTAAATCCATGTGCTGGATTTGTGGCCATATACCCTACTCCATACTTCAGAGCTCTCCTGGTGGGTTATCACCCTTTTCTGGGAGCAGATATGACACCTGCATTCTGCCTGGTCAAACAGTACTCTAAAGATGGGCTGACTCCTCCATAAAGTTTGCTCTAATATTATAACCCTAAAATCTGTTTGGTTTGCCAAAGAGACTGGCCTGCCCCAAATGTCTCTCAAAGGTTATGTAGACATAACCTTCAGCCCTGGCTACTACCAGGATGATTGGGAAATGCATATTATATTTCACTTGACTATAGGACCGCTAATGTTAACACTCTGTCAATTCCTGCCATTCTCCCTCTCCCCTTATACCATTGTGTTAGATCAGCCCTCCACTGGTATGATCATTTTGTCTTTTTATTCTTACCCTCCCTAGAGGATGTAGACTGGCACATGGAAGCACTTACCAACTTTACCTAACTGGCTTTAAATGACTCCCTTCAATGGAGGCATCAGACTCCCAGACTTCAAACTATACTACAAAGCCATAATCATCAAAACTGCATGGTATTGGAACAAGAACAGACATACAGACCAATGGAATCGAATAGAAAATCCAGAAATAAACCCACAGATTTATGGTCAACTAATCTTTGACAAAGGAGCAAAGAATATGCATTGGAGCAAAGAAAGTTTGTTCAATAAATGGTGCTGGGAAAACTGGGTCGCTACATGCAAAAGAATGAAGCTTGACCACCACCTCACACCATACACAAAAATCAACTCAAAATGGATTAAAGAACTAGACATAAGACCTGAAACCATAAAATATATAGAAGGAAATATAGGCGAAACACTACGTGATTTGCACATCAAAGACATCTTTACAGACACATCACCCAAAGCAGTGATAGTGAAGGCAAAGATAAACAGCTGGGACTACATCAAATTAAAGAGCTTTTGCACAGCAAAAGAGACAATAACAAAAACAAAGAGAAACCCCACCAACTGGGAGAACATTTTTGCACCCAACACTAATGATAAAGGACTGATCACAAAAATCTGCAAAGAGCTGATGAGACTCAACAACAACAAAGAAAATAATCCAGTCAAAAAATGGGCAGAAGAGCTTAAAAGAAACTTCTCTGAAGAGGAAATGCAAATGGCCAACAGGCATATGAAAAAATGTTCAACATCATTTGTCATCAGGGAAATGCAAATCAAAACTACCATGAGATACCATCTTACACCAGTGAGAATGGCACATATTAAAAAAACTAGCAACAACAAATGTTGGCGAGGGTGTGGAGAAAAAGGAACTCTTCTGCACTGTTGGTGGGAGTGCAAACTGGTCCAACCACTGTGGAAAGCTGTATGGAGATTTCTGGACCTACTAAACATAGAGCTTCCATATGATCCAGCAATTCCACTCCTAGGTATTTACCCAAAGGACACAGAAACATCAATTCCAAAGAACACCTGCACCCCTATGTTTATAGCAGCACTGTTTACAATAGCTAAGCTTTGGAAACAACCCAAATGCCCAAAAATAGATGACTGGATCAAGAAGATGTGGTACATATACACCATGGAATATTATTCAGCATTCAAAAAAGATAAACACATGCAATTTGCAGCAACATGGATGGCGCTGGAAGGGATCATGCTCAGCGAAATAAGCCAGAAAGAAAAAGAAAAATACCGGATGGTCTCACTCATAGCAGGAATCTAGAAAACTTAAATAAGGGACCAGGAAAATGAATAACTATAAGAAAGTGAAAATCAAAATCAACAAAAAACTATGAACCAGAGACACTTTTAGGGGGGGGGGGGGGGGGGGGGGAGGGATTGGGGTCAGAATGGGGGGGCTGCAATTGTATGGGGAATATAACAATAAAATTTATTAAAAAAAAAAACAAAAACAAAAAAAAAAACAAAATAAGGGGGGATGCAATTGTATGGGGAATATACCCAAAATGAAAATGCATACATTGTGCAAAAATGAAAAATGATGTAAGAATTATATAAAATAAAATATAAAAAATTAAAAAAAGAAAAAAAAAAAAATAAATGACTCCCTTCAGGAAATCTCTCTCATTAATACTGACTTAAAACTAATGAGAAGGGCTGTTTTGCAAAACCTAGAAGTGCTAACTGTGGCCCAGGGAGGAACCTGTGTAATAGTTATAACTGAATGCTGTGTCTATATTCCTTGAATGTATTACACCTATTAAAGGACACGCAACTTTATGTTCGGCCATTATGAGATGACTCCCCCTTTTAAAACTGGTTAGACTATGGGGGAGGGGAAATCTGAACTTGGTGACAAAAGCTACTTCCAGGTCTTCTCCCTGAAATAGGATTTTCACTCTGTTGTTCTATCTACTGTCACTGCAATTTCTGGGCAACACTTAACATAAACATCCTTCAGAAAGTCCATGAGACCCACTTCCTAGGATAATATTTACCAGGTATTAAATATATTCTCTTGATATCTCTGATTCAGGTAATATGTTTTGCCCGCTAGGGTAAAACAGTATGCTGTATGATGTAGGAAAGTACAAAAGAAATAGAGGAAAGCTTCTTCCTTTATGATGAAGGAAAGGTATTAAGACATAAATGAAAGGTAACAATATCCTTCAAGGGAAAATTTTAGAAGAGTTAGGGGTAAAAAGTCCAATATAATATGGATTTCAAGGTCTCTAGCAATTCACCAATAGATTAAACTGGCTGGTTTGGAGAAGTCAAAGAAAGAGTTCTAGAGAGCAGACTGGAGATGGATTCTGAAGAATAGATAGGAAGACGGGATGGGAGAGTGAAAGTATTTTATTCCAAGACAGATCTCCTTGGGGGAGGGACAGTGTTTTACTCATCTCTGGTTCTTCATCCTTTAGCACAAAGTAAGTGTTTAATAAATATTTAATCTAATGAATACATTAGTAACTGGACAGTCTTAAGTGGACGCAATGGCCAGTTATGTCAGTGGTTTTTATGAAAACCATTTACCAACATGATTTTTATTTAATCAAAACCCAAATAAAAACTGTGAACACATGCTTTTGGGAACACATACCCATCCTCTCTGTTTCTGTCATTTTTATTTGCAACACAGAAAGTGAGTCTAGAACCATGAAGTATTAGGAGTTGAAGAGGTCTTAAAGTCTCATTTAGCCTAAGCTTTCATCTTAGAGGTGGGAACAGCTAGACAGGAATGATCAATAATTAAAAGGAGTACTATAGTGTATTGGAAAAAGGGTTTGAGACAACTGAGCCAAATCTGAAACATTTAAAATATCTTCAAAGGTTTTGTTTATTATATAAATATTTTCACACACAATGTTACAATGAAGACTTGGAAAGTGAACTTCTATTCTTCTGAACTTAGTGCTTGAGCTGATGAAAAAAGGAAAGCTATAACCAAGCATTCAAAATACAGACAATACAGATATGTGGGGTACCTCCACTCAATGGCATTCTCCAGAGACTTGAAGGTTTTAGGACGACCACGTAAGAAATTCTGCATGCTATTAAGTGCATCCATGGCTGTACCTAGATGTTAAACAAATTTTTTAACATGGCATTTAACATATTTTGAGCATTTACATTTACTTAGTCAACTATTTACATCTGCCCTCAAGGACAGAATAACTCTGTAACGGCTGAGGGAAAAAAAAAAGATGCAGTTTAAGAAAATTCAGAAGACTGATGTGATAGCCAGCTTCCAGGATGTCTCTAATGATCTTTCCCTCCTGTGTTCTTGTGTTCATGTGCTCATTCCACTTTGAATAGGGTTGATTTGTGTAAGCAACAGTGTGACTTCTGAAGATGGGTCACAAAAGACATGGCAGCTTCTTTTTAAATGTTAAATAAAATTATGGGACATAGAGACACAGATATGTTATGCAGTCATGAAAGATGTTTATGAAGAGATTTTATGACACGGAAAAATTATATATAATGTGAAGTATAGATAAAATGGGTGAAGGTAGTCAAAGGATATAAACTTCCAGTTACAAAATTACTAAGTCCTAGGGACATGATGGACGGTATATTGACTATACTTAATTACAATGTATTGCATATTTAAAAATAACTAAGATGGGGCCTCCCTGGTGGTGCAGCGGTTGAACGCTTGGTTGCAAAGCTGCCCGCAGCCTCTGCAGTGCTGGTTCAATCCCCGGCCACCGGGGGAGGGTCCCACATGGCGCGCAGCCTCTCCTGCTGCCTGCTGCTCCCCTCAGCAGTGTATTTCGTCAGTCTGTCTGTTCTGCTCCCTGCTCTGGCTCTGGTGAATTCTCTCACCCTCCCGCGCTTCTGACTATACCCAGTGCATGTATAAACAAACAAACAAACAAACAAACAAACAAATAAATAAAAACATGCCTCTATAAAAAATATTTAAATAAATAAAAATAACTAAGATCTTTGAAGTTCTCTTCAAAAGAAAAAAACTGTAACTGTTTAGTGATGGATGTTAAGTAGACATATTGTGGTGATCATTACCAACATATACAGATGTCAAATCATTATGTTGTATAATTGAAACTAATACAATATTATATGCCAGTTATATCTCAATAAAAAAATGCTTGGACTGTTTTTCCCACAAAATAACAACAAAAGATATAAAAGATAGCGGGACATACTTCAAGCTGAGTGAAATCACTATATTAAAAAAGGAAAACTATAATCTACCATGGTGATCTCTCAGAAGTCAAAGATTTTGATTTGATTGGCATTAAGAAAACTTACCTTCTACAACATCAATCATGCACAGACCCAGAAGGCTCGGTACCAGGTTGGATGATGTTGTGTGGACTGCAATAGCACCACCCATGCTATGTCCAATCAGCATAATCGGAGGAGGGAGGTCCCCATACATGGCTTCAACCACATTACCGACATCTCTACAAGGAAGAAGAAAAGGCTGGGAATGCTCTCTGACAACATTGTAAAAATTATTTTCTTTTTTTTCTTTTTTTTTTTTTTAATCTTAAATTTTATTTTTATATTCCCCCATACAATTGCAAACGCCCCATTCTGACCCCAATCCTTCCCCTCCCGCCCCCCACCCCCCAAAAAGTGTCTCTGGTTCATAGTTTTTGTTGATTTTCATTTTCATTTTCTTATATTCATTTTCCTGGTCCCTTATTTAAGTTTTCTAGATTCCTGCTATGAGTGAGACCATCCGGTATTTTTCTTTTTCTTTTTGGCTTATTTCGCTGAGCATGATCCCTTCCAGCGCCATCCATGTTGCTGCAAATTGCATGTGTTTATCTTTTTTGAATGCTGAGTAATATTCCATGGTATATATGTACCACATCTTCTTGATCCAGTCATCTACTTTTGGGCATTTGGGTTGTTTCCAAAGCTTAGCTATTGTAAACAGTGCTGCTATAAACATAGGGGTGCAGGTGCTCTTTGGAATTGATGTTTCTGTGTCCTTTGGGTAAATACCTAGGAGTGGAATTGCTGGATCATATGGAAGCTCTATGTTTAGTAGGTCCAGAAATCTCCACACAGCTCTCCATAGTGGTTGGACCAGTTTGCACTCCCACCAACAGTGCAGAAGAGTTCCTTTTTCTCCACATCCTCGCCAACATTTGTTGTTGCTAGTTTTTTTAATATGTGCCATTCTCACTGGTGTGAGATGGTATCTCATGGTAGTTTTGATTTGCTGTAAAAATTATTTTCTTTCCCAATTCTTTCTTTTGGTTTATAACTAAGAGTCTTAGTTATTAGTCTACTGGGCCGTTTTGTAAATGTATCTATGTACATGTCCTCTAATCTTCATACACATAGCCATACATCTAACTCTTCTGAAAAATGGTAGTTTAAAGACTAAGATTTCCAATTTTCTAATTTTCCTTTACATCACACCTTCCCCATTCTACATGTTTAATACAATTGCCCAAAACATTACATTACTTTCATTTAAATGTAAGATGAAAGTATGGACATATTCTTTAACTCCTCTATGCCTCAAGTTCCCTACATATACAAAACAGGAAAACAAATTTACTAAGCACTGTAATGTAGTCAAGTTTGGGTCAACAGATGAATTGTAGCTCCATTTTACTTTTTACTGTGTAGACTTGGATTAGCTATTTAGACACTAAGTTTCATCTATAAAATGATAACAAGCATATGACTATTCTGGATCACTTGGAAGACTAAGACAATGAATGTATAACTACTTTGAAAAGAGTAAAGTGCTACATAAATTTTAATTATTATTTACAATTTGTCATGTAAAGTTGTTTGAAGTATGAACATAAATGTAAAGTGTTCTGAGAAACTAGAAAGACATTCAGAGCTAAGTTTTATTGGCTACTGTTCTAGTCTTTAATTATGGCAGTGGATTGGTTTTACGAAGTCAAATCTTAAAGCTTTGAAAATGAGAAATGAAGTACGAACTTTGGTTTTTATTGGTGTATAGAACTTCTTTGCTATAGCTATAGATAAGTAAAGTGTGTTTCTATTGTCTTCTTTTGAGAGTGGCTGAGTCAGGCATCTTCAAAGGACACTTTTGTCTTGCTGAGAGATACTACATACATCTGAAGCACTCATATAGTGTTAGTCAAATATATTAGGTATGCATGTAGGGACACACTCTTTCAAATATGGTCTCCACAGTATTCCAAATGGCAATAGTAAATGTCATTAATTCCTTAAGAACTTAACTTTTTAAAAAAGACTTATTTCATTTATTTATGCATACAAGAGCTGGGGTACAGGGGAGAGGAGGTGAGAAGATTCACCAGAGACAGAGTGGGGAGCAGAATAGGCAGGTCTACTGAAATACACTGCTGAGGGGCACAGCAGGCGACAGGGGAGGTCTGTTGCACCATGTGGGTTAGCTCCCTTGCAGGGGATCAAACTTGTGCTACAGTGGCTGCCAAAAGCTTGAAAGAGCTGAGACTTAACCCCCTGCACCGCCAGGGAGGCCCAAGAAATTAATTTTTAAAATCTCATAAAATTATATGTATGAATAGTGTGGTTGCAGAAAATCTAAATGGGGAAATAAAGGCGATCACGCAATTTTACAAATAAAAACAAATACTAGCTTAATATTCCTGTGGAGTTAAAATTCAAAGGCATTTTTTTGGTTGGTAATAGACAAATGAATTTAAAAAAAGGGTTCCAGGGCCTCCCTGGTGGCGCAGCGGTTGAGTGCTGGGTTGCGAAGCTGCCAGCAGCCTCTGCAGCGCCGGTTCGATCCCCGGCTGCTTCCTGGCCACCAGAGGAGGGTCCCACATGGCACGCAGACCTCTCCTGCCGCCCGCTGCTCCCCTCAGCAGTGTACTTCGGTCCTTCTGCCTGCTCTGCTCCCCACTCTGGCTCTGGTGAATTCTCTCAGCCTCCCACACTTCTGACTGTACCCAGTGCTTGTATGTATGTATCAATCAATCAATAAATCAATCTTTAAAAAAAAAATTAAAAAAAAAAGGGTTCCATGGAAGATTGTCTATATCTGAGAATTCTATAAAAATTTAATAACTAAGCTGAAGTGGTTCTAGGATGTCTGTTCTATGCATGAAGGTGGATAAGGCCTGAAACAAACCAACTTAATATTGTGTCTAAGCTTAGGAAAGGCATACATATCGAGGAAAAAGGTGGTCATAGTCAATCACTTAATCATCTGCTACCACAAGAAATTTATTCTTTATAAAATTAAAAGTATTAAAAAAAATTAAAAGTATTCAGTTACCAAGATAGTACCTTATTTGAGATATATTCTGAAATTTCAGAGAAATAAAGGCAAAGTAGCAGGGATTACCTACAAATCTAATCTATAACGGTGTACCAATTGGTATACTAACTGGTAGATGCTTTTTAAGAGGATTCTACTATACATATTAATACCAGGTTCATTTCCTGAAAAGCAGTATAATATATCACAGACATTACAGAAACAGAAATATCAGAATGACCCAAGCCCATGTCTTGGCTCTATTACTTTCAATGGAGTTGCATCTTATATGGTATAGGTTCTAAAGTTAATATGTAAAACAAAAATTATATTGTATTACTTGAAAACACCACTACTAGTCCATTAGGTGTGACCAATTTGTGATTTTTGTTTCACAGGTTGATGAAGCTGGAAATCACATGCTATTACTGCTTCAGTCATTTCAGCAAGAGCCCAACTTGTTGGCTCTTCTGATTCTTGATAATTATCATCATCTACTGTAAATGGTTCTAGTAATTTATTCTTAACTTTTGGTGCCAGTAATCAACTTACCATCTCTCAGTTCCAATTCATCCTTCATTAAATGTTCTGCAAAAATGGGTCTGAGGCCTTTAACTATTTTCCCTTTGCCAGTTGGCATGATGTTAAGTTATGTCAGTAGAGTGTGCAGGAGAGATAATATAGAAAGAGGGTTTTGTTCCTAGTTCATGTGCCTTCATTCTACAAATTCCTGTTGTTTATACTTCTCTAGCAAGCGCCTCCTGCAGCACATGTTGCTTCCCAAGTGCCTAATTCCTGCAACATGTGTGGTTTCTCCAACACTTCATTTTCACCACCCCCAGTGGTTTCCCCCCCTCCAGCTTTATTAATGTAGACAATTTTGGTATGTATACATACATATACACACACTTACATACTAGTGTTATTATCAATACAATCAAAATAATAAACATCCATCATTTCCAAAAGTTTTCTTGCATCCCTGTGCATGTGGTAAGAATACTTAACATGAGACCTACCTTATCAACAGACTTTTAAGTATACAATATCTTATCATTAACCAAAGGCACTAGGTTGTACAGTAGATCTCCGCAACCACCCACAATATTTTTGTTTCAGATTGCTTCTTGTGAGATGCTCCCCAGTGAACAGTTCACCTTCCACCCTACGAGGCAGATTTCTGACAAGTTCTGCCAATGTGGCATCAAAGTAACTTCCCTGCCTTCAGTAAGCCACAATCATGCCTTTTCCAAAAGAATCTAGATCCCAATCTCTTCCATTAGCCTTCCATCTCAGTCCAAGAGGACAGCAAATACTCTTCTTACATCCAATATTTTCTTTTTGAAAATGTTTCCAATTTTATTAAGGTATTATTGATAAATAAAATTGTAATATAAAGTATACAATGTGATGATTTGATATACATAGTGATTTTGAGTTAATCAACCCTATGTTCTTTACTTTTTCCTAGTCAATTCCTCATTACTTCAATCCTGTTACAGTCAATAAATCTTTATATTATTAAACATTTTTGTACAGATTACTATGTGGTTTCTCTTTTCTGACTGGCCAGACCGATACATTATTAGGCAATGTTTCCTTAAGGTCCTCAAGAAGAAAATCTTCGACTTCCTCTAGAATGTCAACTAAGTCATTGTCACCCTTTGTCTGGCTGCGTGGCCACTTAGACATATTTCAGTTTTTTGTCAACAATTAAGAAACCTTTAAATACTTAAAAATCATTCACACATCTTTCTATAGATATTGCTAACAGGCTTGAATTTCAGGCTTTTCTGTTCTCACATTACGAAGGCATTAGGAACAACTGAGGGAAAAGATTCTTGGCTCCCTTTTCCTGGTCTCTCAAGCACATGTTCATTGAGTGGAATGGTTTTAATCTATTGTTATTTCTCTCTCTTTCTCTGACAAGCACTATAGTTGAACGGTCACAATTCTTGTCTATTAACTGAGTGACATCATGCAATTATTCAACCTATCTGAGCTAGTTTCCTCATCAGTACAAAAGTGATAATATATATACTACAGTTAATAATGTAGATTAAAGCAAATTAATTAAAATCACATATTTCTAACAAATGATTAATTTGTACCTAATAAAGCCTGGCAGATAGGAAGCACACAAACAGCACCTACTATAACCAAAAAATTATAGACCTAAGAGTTTAGGTTCTAAAGAAATATTTACTTTTGGATTAAAGCTGCAAAAGTATGCAAGGACAAGGTATTTTTGGCTAAAGTTGGTCAAATACTTGAGAGAGCATGTATTAAGTACATGAGAGAGTATGTATTAAAGTAGGATAGTATCCTGTTTGCAATATAAGGGAATGGTTTGCAAACACCAGTTATAGAACTGCTTGCATCAGGTTACCTTACAGAGCTTTGTCAAAAAGATAAAATGCCAAGATTCTACTGGTAAAAGCACTAATTCAGTAGTCTCTGGGGTAGGGCCAATTATCTGTATTTAAATCATTTCTTAGGTGATTCTGATCAATGACCAGATTTGAGAGCCAGTCTATTTGCTCTATTTATCTTTTAACATGAGGTAAGGGTATAATTAGTGATTCTTTAATACTCTGTTACTGTCTTCCTATGAAGTTGGATAAAGACTATGGACAGGACACCTTAAGAACAACTCACAGGATCTACTGCATACAATTACCTTTCCAAATACAGGTCCCTAATAGACATTCAGATTCTATTCAACACAAGAAAACTGTTCAAAAGCTAACACAAACTACACTACACTTGGAAGAATTTTCAAGTGCTGTATGTCATGATCATCACATTGAATATATCAAGAAAGATGGAGGATTCTTTCAAGATTAAGTAGTAAGGACTCGCCAGAAATAGAGGAAAGAGAAAATAGTAAAATTTCTCTGTGTTAATGATTGTCTAACAATTTCACCAGGAGAGTGATAAAGTTAAACTACTATTAATAATAGTAAAGGAAATCAGGTGATGCATACACAATATTAGATTACTTACTTTGCCATTGTTTCTGCAGACAGGTCTTCAGAATTCTTGACTTTTGTTTCACCTAGAAAGACAATATTTTAAAAATAAAAATCCAAGGATAGGAATTATAAAAGCAAAAGTATTGCCTTTTAAAAATCTCCTTTGAACAATGAAACTGAAACTTAGCAAGTATTTTTCAAGGTACAGACACATCTTTACAGTTGGCCACCCTTAAGGGATAAATACAGAAGTATAGCAAAGATTATCCACATTCCTTATATACCACCACATCAGAATTTGGTTACATTAAAGGATATATTCTTAGCTAAACAACAAACTAAACATATATTCTTAGCTAAACAAATAAGTGTATGCATGTATTTAAAAAACAGTAAATGCTAGCAACTAGAAATTCCTTCAAAATGCTCAAATGGAAGAAACCAGGATATTTTATGGGCACACTGAAATCTGCAATATTTAAGACTATTCAAAGGGCTTGAAAATATGTCACTGAGTCAGTGACAACTTAGAAACTTCACTCACCATGACCTCGTAGATCCAAAGCCACAATCCTACATTGAACCCTACTAATGATTGCTGCCTAGGAATAAAAGGAAAAGTAGTAAGATATAAGATACATCAGGGTCAGCAAAATTTTCCTCATTTCCAATGATAACTTTCTTGAATGAACTGCCATCAAAATCCAAGAAAGTCAAGAAAATCAAAAGGCTTTTTGTTAAAAAAAATTTTTTTTATTGTTTTTTTTGGTTCATATGCTGGTAGCATCCCAACTCCAAATTTGGCTTTCTACACCCAAATCCCTCTTAAACCTTAACTGTTCCAGCTTTTAATGAAACAGAATCAAGTACCTCTACGCAATTACTCTCTGCACTCTATTATTACCTATGATTTCCAACCATATTCCTTGGTTTCCTTTTCCTTAGTCTGGAAGGGAAATTTCCTAGATAAGGACTGTGAGTCAGTTAATCTCTCACCTCAGAACATCACACAAATGTGACATTCAGATCATGAAATAACCCTGAAAGGAATACAAGTCATGAAATCAACCAATGATTCACTTTAGATGCAGTAAAAAGATTTTATCACAAGCTTACACACAGCCTTGTACTACAGTTAAATAAAAATATATTTCAAAAGAAATCATACCAGCATGGGGAGGTATAATTTTAGAGCTTTAAACAAACCTGGAATAATTGGGGAATCTCCCTCAACTAAATTAGATTATTTGACAATGAATATATCACAATTACAGTGTTAGTAAATGCCATCAACATTTTTTTAACTTTTAAGAGTAAAGTAGAAGAAATATCTAGTCGAACCCCCACATTTTATGAGGGAACAAAGGTTAAAAGAAAGAAATTGTTTGCTCAGGGTCACATAAGAAGTTAGTTACCAATGTGTATGTATAACATACACCAACCAAAAGAAGTCAAATTTCTTAGATCTGTAGTATACGCACAAAAGCTGATACATTAGGAACAGGCTCATGTTCCTGCTACTTGTTTACTCAAAAATATTCACACATACAGTATGTGCTAGGCATCAATAAGCCATGGTCTTTGCCTCCAAAAAAGTTCACTATCTAGTGAAGGAATGAAAATAACTTGAGCTATGCTACTAAGGACTTGGAATATGGCTAGTACAAACCGAGGCATGCTTAAGTAAAAAATACACAGAGGACTTCATAGACAGTATTTAAAAAAATGTGAAATATCTCAATAGTGATTTTTATTGGTTAAATGATAATAATTTAGGTAAAATGAGTTAACTAAAATAACTATTATTAAAAGTAATTTCACCTATTTCTTTTTACTATTTAATGTCCTTACTAGGAAATTTAAAATTACAAATGTGGCTTGTATTATAATTCTATTGGACAACACTAGTCTAGAGACATGAAAGAGCCTGGCATTTATATGGAAAACACACGGCTATATGTAAGTAAGAGTAAGAAAGCAGCAAACATAACAGGGGCCAATCTTTTAACAAATGTTAAATAAGTGCCTAAGTGTGCAAGAACTATTTCAGGTATTAGAGAACAAAAAGAATAAGACAATATTCCTGTTCAAGGAATTCTCGGTCTAACAGAACAGACAAGTTGCTTTTATACTTAATAACCAGTAATAACCATTGCCAGAACAAAGTATATGTTCCAGCCTTCCTCAATTCTTAGTCTGCATTCCTGCTTGCTCCCATTTTTTTGTACTCAGACTCTCTAATGGTAAACAGAGAAAATATGTATCTACTTTACATATACAAGAAGAGATAACAATTTCCTTTTAAAAAAGAATATTGCTCATATCTTCCTCAGCAGTATCTTTCCTTGCTTCCTTGAGTTAAGGATATTAGGAAGCTCTACAACTGGCAGCATTGACATGGACATACATCCTCTACTCAAGACCAGGATCTCACCAACCAAAAGCTGTTTGCTTCCTAACAGCTCACAAGTATCATTAAAATACAAGGCACCATTTTTATAGGCCATCTCCATGTGTACAGTAGTTCGTTTTTGTGTATAATGTCATTTCTTCTAAAATGCCTGAATGAAATGCTGATCCATTAACTTAGATTATTGAGACAGAGATCCCCATTTTTGCAAAGGCACAGATTTCACCTCCCTCACCCCAAATCATACATATATATACATATATACATATATACATATATATATATATATATATACTGTTTGAAGAATTAATGGACTAAAGCCCACACCAGTTAAGAACATTTAGTAGCATTTAGTAGGTGACCTTGAGCCTATCATGATAAATATTAGGAATTGAACCGTCCCTTATCTTCTTACATTAAGCCATATTTGAGCATAGAAGAAAGAATTAGGCTAGTAAAATTAGTCGAAAAACAATGATTTCACTAACATCAATTACTTGCTTACCGTGAATACAGCCCAGGAAAGGGCAGAATGGCCTCCCCCATGTAGAAGAAGTAGGACTGGACCCTCTGAACCACTCTTGTAAACTCGAAAAGTGTATGAATAGTTAAGGAGAACATATCTAAACTTTTGCTCTTTGAGGTTTTTTATTAGTCTCAATAATATTGATTAGAAAACTCAGGCAGCACCAAGTTATATGCAAAACTGCAGACTTCCAAACTTGATAGACACTTAACCTCTGTTTTTGAAGCATGGAGCCAATAATGACCCTTTTTTCAATGGAAAAAAATTGATTCCCTTTACTCCAGTGAGGTGCCTAACTGATTCCTAAATGCTAAATGTTTCACCTCATTTGTCTCATGAAACGTTGCTCTGAGGAGATACATCATTTTCACAAGTCAGAAGGAAAAAGAAAAGTATCGAATAGTTTCACTTACAGGTGCAACATAGGAAAACCCAAGAAAGGGTCAGGAAAGACAAAACTTGCAAGCTGACCATAGATTTAAGTCATACAGCAGGAGAGGACAGAAGAGAGGTCAAAACAGGGAAGCGGGGGCCTCCCTGGTGGAGCAAGTTGTTGAGATGCAACCTATGAAGCTGTCCATAGCCATTGCAGCACGAGTTCGATCCCCAGCCAGGGAGCTACCCACATGGCGCAGCAGACCTCTCCTGTCTCACCTGCTGCTCCCCTCAGCAGTGTATTTCAGTCGATCTGCCTGTTCTGTTCCCCACTCTGTCTCCGGTGAGTCCTCTCACCCTCCACTCCTCTGATCTGTACCCCAGTTCTTGTATCCATAAATAAATAAATCTTAAAAAAAAAAAAAAAAAAAAACAGGGAAGGGAAGAACACAAGGGACTATGGTGGGAGAACTACAGGGACTATACCTGAAGGGAGAAATCAAACATTATACACAAAAACGAACAATGATGTAACAAATAAATTTTAAAAAAGAGAGAAATCAATTTCAGGATTGTAATTCTTAATCCCTTCTCCAAATATTGGACAATTATAGCCAAGTAAGATATGTGGAATAAATATGCAGATAATATATCATGCTGTACAAGGAAGAGGTGGGGAGAAAAAAATGAAATAAACAGCAGGAATAAAGAACATTTTAGAAATTACTGGTCTTTTATTTAGACATCATAAGCTTACAAAAAGAAAAAGCCATTTTGCAAAGGATATATCCTTGCCAGTTTCATTCTCCACTTCTACATCTTCCATGGACTCAAAGTACTGACTCCAAGAAACAGGGGAGAAGTCCCGCTTTCTTCCAGGGCTAAGGAAAAAAAAGAGAAAAAAGTTTTAAGTTAGAAGAGTTATGCATGAAAGATAAAATCTTGGACCTCCCTGGGGGCACAAGGGGTTAAGCACCGCACTATGAAGCAATCTGCAGCCTCTGCAGCACGAGTTGGATCCCCAGCCAGCCGGGAGCAACCCACATGGTGAGGCAGACCTCTCCTGTCTCACCCGCTGCTCCCCCCAGCAGTGTACTTTAGTCAATCTGCCTGTTCTGTTCCCCACTTTGTCTCTGGTGAATCCTCTCACCCCCTGCATCTCTGGCCTGTACCCCAGCTCCTGTATGCATAAATAAACCTTTAAAAAAAAATAAAATCTTGCTGAAAAAATGCTAAATGTACATCTGAAATAAAAATAGCAAGGGTATTTTCTCTTAAAAGATGTGAACAGTTTTCATACATAAAGCATCACTTAAAATGTGTTTTATAAGTTCAAATATAAATCTAAGAGTAAAAATTTGGGAAGTCAAGGAAACACCTTAGTATATTTTAATCACAAATATATTCCACGTGCTGGTTCCCTCTCCTTGTTTTTGGCTATAAGTTCATTCCTATCCTCTCAACACACATTATCATTCCGGCTATAATCATTTCTGTGCTTCTTCATATGTATAATCCCTCACATTATTTCACACTCGTAGGTCATTTACCAACCAATCAATATAAACCTTCATAACAGGCAAACTGGAAATATCAATATCATGAACTTCCAGGAATTTATTTTAAGATATATACATATTTTCACACAGAAGCGAAAAGACTTATTCAATGTAATAGTTTGTAATAGGGAAAAACTAGAAAAATTTAAATATCCATTAACATGTGACTGATTAAAGTAAATTGTGATACATAGAGACACAGTATTCAGTTACAAAAGGAAGGAAGAAATTATATAGTGATAAAATTGTTTATAAATGGAAACAACATTGTTAAGTAAACCAACTGGATATACAGTCTACCATTTGGGTAAAAATAGGAAATATATAACTGCTTACATACATCTAGAATATCTCTGAAAGGAAATCTCCACACAGCTCTCCATAGTGGTTGGACCAGTTTGCACTCCCACCAACAGTGCAGGAGAGTTCCTTTTTCTCCACACCCTCGCCAACATTTGTTGGTGCTAGTTTTTTTAATATGTGCCATTCTCACTGGTGTAAGATGGTATCTCATGGTAGTTTTGATTTGCATTTCCCTGATTACAAGTGATGTTGAACATTTTTTCATAAGTCTGTTGGCCATTTGCATTTCCTCTTCAGAGAGATTTCTTGACCTACTAAACATAGAGCTTCCATATGATCCAGCAATTCCACTCCTAGGTATTTACCCAAAGGACACAGAAACATCAATTCCAAAGAGCACCTGCACCCCTATGTTTATAGCAGCACTGTTTACAATAGCTAAGCTTTGGAAACAACCCAAATGCCCAAAAACAGATGACTGGATCAAGAAGATGTGGTACATATACACCACGGAATATTACTCAGCATTCGAAAAAGATAAACACATGCAATTTGCAGCAACATGGATGGCGCTGGAAGGGATCATGCTCAGCGAAATAAGCCAGAAAGAAAAAGAAAAATACCAGATGGTCTCACTCATAGCAGGAATCTAGAAAACTTAAATAAGGGACCAGGAAAATGAATAACTATAAGAAAGTGAAAATCAAAATCAACAAAAAACTATGAACCAGAGACACTCTATGGGGGATGGGGCATGGGGAGGGGAGGGATTGGGGTCAAAATAAGGGGGCTGCAATTGTATGGGGAATATAAAAATAAAATTAAAAAAAAAAAGAATAAAAAGGAAAAGAAACTTAAAAAAAAAAAAAGAATATCTCTGGAAGGATGCTGATGAAACACTGATGACATCCTGGGAAGAGAGCTATGAGTGAGTAATGAGAAAAACAATTTTCAACGTACATATCCCTTCTAATGTTTTGGACCATGTATTATTTAAAATGTTACATATGTAAAGCATTAAATTATTTTAAAACAAAAATAACCAATAAATGTCATATTTAAACTATGCCTTTTACCTTGGATTTGACACAATAGAAAAACCCTAAGTCTTGGGCCTTCCTGGTGGCGCAAGGGGTTAAGGCCCACACTATGAAGCAATACACAGCCTCTGTAGCACGAGTTCGATCCCCAGCCAGGGAAGTAACACACATGGCGCAGCAGACCTCTCCTGTCTTGCCCGCTGCTCCACTCAGCAGTGTATTTCAGTCAGTCTGCCTGTTCTGTTCCCCACTCTCTCTCTGGTGAGTCTTCTTACCCTCCGCATCTCTGGCCTGTACGCCAGCTCTTGTATGCATAAATAAATGAATCTTAAAAAAAAAAAACAAAAAACAAAAAACAAACCTTAAGTCTTCTTCTATTTCCACACCTAATTTTCTTCCAAGTAGTGGAGAAAATTCAGAATTCTATCATCAGCAAAACATTACTTCCTGCCACACATCTCCCTGTATAGTCATGCGCCAAATGGAAAACATGTACAAAGTATAAATACAGGCTCCTTTTAAGGACTTAATACAAAAGCACTCCTGGTTGATTATAATACTAGAAAGAATTACAATGGCAGTCAGATGTGCATTCTTTCAACAGTTAAGCATTTACTAAATTATATATCTATTGCCTACTAGGCAATAAGACAGGTTAATAGCTCTCAATCCATGTAACAATAAAAATCCACCTGGGAAGATTTTAAAAAGACTGATGCTTATGTATTTCATCCTCTAGAAATTGATTTAAAAAGTCTGAGGTATGGCCTAGGCACTGAGAATTTTTCAGGTTCCCAAGATGAGAGCGCTTCTAGGAATACAAAGGTAGAGTATATGAATTAGGATGACAAAGGACTTCAAATTCCTTCCAGTTCCTACCTTTTTCCTATATTTTCCTATAAATTCTTAATACTTTACAGTAGGGCCTTGGGGGCCTACTTGGTGGCTCAAGGGGTTAAATCTCAGCCCTACGAAACTATCAAGCTATGGTCAGCCACTATGGCACAAACTCAATCCCTAGCCAGGGAGCTAACCCACATGGCATAGCAAACCTCTCCTGTCTCACTCGCTGCTACCCTCAGCAGTATATTAAAGTTGATCTGCCTGTTCTGCTCCCCACTCTGTCTCTGGTGAATCCTCTCACTGCCCTGTACCTCTGGCCTGCACCCCAGCTCTTGTATGCATAAATAAATAAAAATTTAAAAATCTTTTTAAAAAAAAAAAAAAGGGCAGGGCCTTGGAAAATTCAAATTATTTAAGCTTTTTCTGCCTAGGGTTAACGAATGAAAAAAATAACATCTTTTAAAAGAAGCTAATACATCTAACATTTGTATGTGTACTTGCTCAGAAAATTGGTAATACTCTCTTTTGATAGAAAAATTGTTTTTGTGAAAGTAAACTTCAGCTTCAGCTTAGACCTAATTTTCAGTTTTCTGGTTGCACTTGAATTTCTACTGGAAAATTAAAATAGAACTCTTAAATTAATCACTCACAAATCCACCTATGCACATACTAATTAGAGTGTAACAACCACAACCAAAACATGGCATGCCAACCACGTTATATTGGATTCTAAAGATCCATGCATAAATTTTTGATGTCTGGAACATTGGATATCATGACAGTAATAGTGCTTAACGCTTATTGTGCAGCGCCAGTGAGGCATATTTCATTTAATTTTTATAAAACTTTGAGTTATTTTATCTCCATTTCATAGGTAACAAAACAGATTTAAATACATAAAGTAAGTAGTCCAAGGTTATACAACTATTAAGTGGTAGGACAGGATTCAAATCCAGTTCCAGAGTCTTCAGAGTCTCTGCTCTTTACCCTAGGCTGTATTAATTTTCAGGTTTTTGTGTTTTCCTCTTTGCTAACTCATATATGCTTTTGAAAAGTAGCAAGGTTTTAGGGTGCATTTTCAGAGGTTTTCTTTTCAGACCTTAAATATGGCTGATTTGTCCAAGCTGGCCATGCACCAACCAGTTAATAAAAAATTACTTCCTATATACAGAAAATATTCCTAGGAGAACACCCTCCACTTCTAATTTCTGTCATTAAAAAAAAAGTTCCAGGGATTATCCAACTTATACCAACATATGAGTATACCCACTGGTTAAGGAGTCAATTATCTATACCTCCAAAGGTTGTTCCTACTCCCACAGAAACTTCATGGCATATGTCTAGCATCTTCATTAAATACATAATTATTTGTATACTCCATGACTTCAAGTAATTTTACAACCAATGTTAGACATTACGTAGATAGCAAGGCCCTTCTTCATATTAAGTTCAGAAAGAATATTCTGTACTTAGGGATATAGTTTTGGTTCTTTTGAAAAATAATTTATTTCTTTTCCTTTTATGTCTTGCGATTTTATGGTGGTCACAGTCTTTGTAGGTTTCTTTTAATTACACTCTCTAAGATTTATTAATTACAGATGTTCTCCCCATAAAGAACCTACTATGTGTATTCAGCTAGGATGTGGTGGGGTGATGGGAGATACTGAGATAACTATAAAACTAGTAAGACAATGTATCTGCCCTCAAGAAACTAAGGTCAAATACGTAATTATCTAACATAATGTAAAGAGTTAAGTTACAGCTTAAGTGCTGTGACTATTCAAAGAAGGGAACAAAGATTACTTTCACCTTGGGAAATAAAAAGAGGTTTCAAAGAAAAGTAACACATTGTAAGGCAGACAGAATTTGGACTGACGGAAATGGAGAGGAGTAAGGAAGGCATTTCAAGTAGAGACAAGAACATGAATAAGGACCCAGGTACGATGCCTGTCATGGGGGACACCTATGAAAAACAAAACCAAAAAGGCTAAGTACAAGATGGGAATAAGCTTTTAAGTTTTGAACAATTAAAAGAAGTCAACACAACCAAAATCAGATAGATATAATAAAGTTGGCAGGAATGCGGTCTTTTTTGTTATTTGTGTGTCATGGTGCAAAGTCAGACGGGGTTGGATG